AGAAGAACGCACTAACTTATCTTAAATTCAATAATGCAGCCTGTCAAAACTTGACAGAAATGCCCACTTCTCCTATGAGAAGCGTTCTCTTAACTCGAGAATCGCCACCCTGGAGGCGAACGGTTTCAATCGTGGAAAATTCCACGTGCGTGAGTAAGAGTGGAAACCTTAACCCGAATCCGGATGTACGCAAACGCTTGTACTATGTCTGGGTCCGGGAGCTCCGAGTTGGCGCCCGAACGTTGCCGACGTTCGGACCAATCAATAACGAACGTTCACACATGGCACCTTCGATCCGGCGTTTCCGACAGAAAATGGGAAAGCAGTTTCGGCAACCGGAATCGACTGGAGTTTCGTCGTAATGGAAATCTGGTCTGGTGTGTGGGACGACGCTCATTTCTGTTGCATATTACACAGGGCGGGTTCAGGGTTTTTTTTTATATTTAGGCATGAAAAAAAATTGAATAAACTTCAAACAACTCAAAAGTGTAAGTAGGTAGAAAGGATCGGGTAGAAAATCAATCTCAGGAGAAAAACAAATAGAAATTGGGCATTGGGATATAGCAAAATCAACTGTTAGAAAAAATTTAAAATATAACAAATTTCATTCCTAAAAATTGAAAATATTACATCAACTTACTGAGGTCATGTGTGAGCGCATAATACAAAATCCCCTGTACTTGCAATCAACTCGTTTTATAATATATATACCCATCTTTTTGGACAGAAATTTACCAAAAATCTTAAACTTAAACATTCTTCAAACCAGAGCTGGCCAAGTACTTTTACTCGTATTTCAATTACGAAGAAAAAAGTACGAGTACTTTTTCATTTGAAATACTTATTACTCTTACTTACAAACCAAATTCAATGTACTCGTAAAAAATACTCGTGGAATTCACGAGTAACACATAAAGTATTTTCGTTTATTATATGGATTGCCAAAATATCGTAAGCATCAAAACATTTTGTTTGGAAGTCTGTTTTAAATTATATAATATATAGTATAATATAATATATTTTAGCCTATAGGTTTTATAACAAGTTAGCAGGTAAAATTATAAACTATTTAAAAATTATTATTATTTTATGTACATAATGTTTAAAATAAATAATTTTATAAATTTGTATTTGTATTTGTATTTTTATAGCTCAGTATCTCAAAGTATGTATAATGTAAAATCGCTAAAAATGAATTTTTACCACAGTTATTAGTAGAAATTAGTGAAAATACCGTCATGAAAGTGGAGCAGTTTTTGAAATATAGGCGATTCCATATTAAATGGAAAATGGACTATATCTCAAAAACTGTTCTACTTTTCTAACTTTTGACGACATTTTCGGATTCAGGGAATAATTTCACATGGAGGAAATTGACTGCTAATTTAAATGTTAAAAATAAAAATTGCTATTTACGAGAATTATTAGTGGCTCCTTTTTCGCTACAACAATTAGTCATTTTTGACTTACCCATTTTTACAGAGTAAAGAATAATCATTTATATTAACTTACTTTTTTTTTCAAAAGTACTCGTACTCTTTACTCGTGTTTTCACGATTACTACTCGTAACCGTAACCTCTCTTTACAAATGTACTTACGAGTAAAGTACTTAAATATTTTAAGTACTCGTACTTAACATTTTACGAATACTTTTTTTGTACTCTTGCCTAGCTCTGCTTTAAACACAAATTTATCCAATGATTCAATTGAATCACTGAAAGAAATATTGTTCATAATATAAATGAACCACCATCATCAACTGATATTTCATTGCGCAAATGAACTTTTTCATTAAGGTAATGAAATGCTATTCATAAATCAATATTACCTTTCATCAATATTATGAATTCATATTCATCCAGATAATGAATGTCACGTCATTAAATTAACGTAAAATGGTAATTACCGCAATACAATTTTCATAAAAATGATAATTTTTTTCAATGAATCAATAAATTCGTGTATCATTTGGATTCTGCAACTTTAACGAACAGTAATTATTGCATTAATGCCAACGTCATCAATTAATAAATAGAGAACATTGAAGTAACGAACTACCTTCATTTTATTAATGTATGAGTTCATTAATAAGCGATGAAAAAGTTGATTAACTATAATGAACACAAATTATCCACTTAACGATGATGTTATATTATATTAATGAATGATTTCATCAATATAAGGAATATGATATCAAGTACCTATATCTGACGAATTTGACATGGAAGTAATATCCTAACAAGATGAAGCGCCCGCTAATTATTTTATCTACGCCAGTGAGATAAGAACTTCTTATCCCACTCATTTTGAGTGAGATAAGAAGTTCATTAACGCACGGGTTTTTCTCTGCTTTTAACCAATCAAATAAAAAAGTCAAAATGTCAAAATGTCAAAATAACCCTAAATTAAGTCTTAGACAAAAATAATTACCGTTTATTTTTTCATTTAGAGGCGTAGATAAAAATTTGTACAATATACGTGTGATAACGCTTTATTAACGTACTTTTGCGATTGCCCAACTCGTGCTACGCACTCGTTGGGCAAATTTCGCATGCGTACGTTAATAAAGCTCTTATCCCACTTATATCGTAAATAACTATTAGGGGTGTTAGACAGTGGCTTGATTAGACTTATCCATATAGGTGAATTGGTAGGCGCCGATTGATGACGAAAACAACGGATTAGATGTGAATGTGCGAATATTACACAAAAAACGTTTGCAAATGTGAGAACTAAAATTGGAAACAGACTATTTTTGTGTCAAAATGTCCAAGGGGAGCATTTCCAACATCTAATTGGGTGACCAATTGGAAATTTATTGTACTTAATAAATTAAATCCCTGTACTTAATAAATAAAAACAAAAATTTGATTTGATAATAAATTTTTTAATTTTGTTTAAACGTTTATTATCTTGGCAAACATTTAGATACCCGTTGATAGAGAATCAAAATACCTTTAAAATGTAGTACTACAAGCCTCTTTTCCATTTGAAATTTTTAAGTTGATACTGCCGGCATGCCCTCTTGGCACTCCTTAAATAGGGTTTAACGTCAAAAGGGAATTTTTTTACTAAAAAAGGTAGTTAAAGAAATTTTTAAATATACACTTTGCGGCATTTTGTTGCAAAAATGGCGGATGCGACGGGATTAAATAATTAGTATAGAATTTGTAATAAGTAAATTTTAATTACCCTTTTTAGGGAAATTTGAATGATTTAGGGTATATTTTAGTGCGCTGACATTTTTAGTGTAAAATGAAGGTTAACAAATAAATTATTTTTTCTACGACCACTATGTAAAAGTCACTTTTCATGATGGCATCGTTGCTTAGAAAATGAATCTTTTCATTGGCAAGGCAAAACACGAATGTAAAGTGACATTTCTGTGTGAAAAGTGACAGGTCTGTGTGAAAAGAACCGGAAAGCATCGTTTGACATTCAGCTGTCAAAAAAGTTTTTAGGTTATTTTGTTTTGTATTTAAAAATAATAAAAAATAAAAGGGTCGCAGAAAACACATTGTGTTATACTTGTGAGAAAAGCTTTCTTCAAGCTCGTGTTAATGCACACTCGGCCTGACGGCCTCGTGGGCAACTTAAAAACTCGCATGAAAAAGTCGCTATTCAACACTTGTAAAACAAATAACTATTTACTATAAATGTCTTTAATTTGTTTTCATGACAGGTCTTATAAGAGACGTTCCACAGATGCGTTTGATGCAGAACAATTTAAGGTTTTATGCATAAAGGTGTTAACTAACATATGTGTTATGCAAAACTAAGTAACTAAATAATAAAGGTTGCCACATTTTCTTTAAAATACCTTTAACCCTTAACCCCTTTAATTGAAAATAATCGTTTTATTATTATTTTGTGCATTTTATGGTATTTTGTTTGGTTGGTAATTCAGGGTAAACTTATTGAAAGTCTTGGGTAAATGCTTATAACACTAGTGGCAACACTGGCTCAACAAAACAAATAGTCAAGTAGTTACACTCACTATTACACTATAAAATATTAGAATTACAATAAAGTGGGAATTTTTGTAGCGTCCGTTACAATAAAAAATTGTGAGTAAAACTACCTTAATTATTATGCTTATAAGTTTAAGCCTAATTATTACAAGCATAATAAACATGTTTGCAATATTAACTATTGTAACAGTATTTAATTTAATTACGGTAGCTTTTAATCACAATTTTTTATTGTAGCGGACGCTACAAAAATTCCCGAGTAGCGTGGAATGCTGTATTGTTAAATCTTATAAAATCTTTAAACTAAATAGTTTTAGAAATGGCGAATGTGCCGGGATAGTAAACAGTCGGGCAAAACAATTGTAAATTATATTATAAACGCTTTAATTCTAATTTTATTTTATTAAATGTTAATCAGGATAATTATTTTTTAATAAAAATCTTGGGCTCCTTCAAAATCCATTTTTTGGATCCCTCAAAGCACTTTTTAGAATTCTTTTCCAAAGCACATTTTTTAAATTGTGCTTTTTTAATTTAAGCTACCCATTGTTTAATAATCGTTTAGGTCAAAATGTGTTATAACGCATTTTTTTAGTGTATTTCCAACATCTGTTTTCAGGTTATGTTCATAATTCCTTAAAACAATTTAAAAAGTTATTGGCTAGTTTTTATTGACGCGCATTTGATAAATTTTAACGAAAAAAAACTCTAAATCTACAAAATGTGTGTTATAAGTACAAACCACTTATTCAATTATTATTATTATTTCTGATGAAAATGTTATGGTACTTATGCCATTTATAAACTATTTTATTGGTTATGACCCACTTAATATGGCCGTAATCTATTAATACAGATCAGGAAACTTCGATAAACAAATTTTAATGACAGATCGATATCGAACTGTGCAGTGTACAATTCCGATGCAAACTGCATCATATGCAATCGGTGCATAATTGCTTCGCTCGTAAAAAGGTCAGTCGCAATCATAACCTAACCTCATCGGAACCGAGACGAGCCTCCCGTTCCACAAATCCCGGCCTCAAAACTTCTTTCCCTTGACGCTCTCGCATATGCGTCGTCATCCCGTTCACTCCACGATACCTCAACGCAACCTGATTCAGTCTGCATCTAAACCTCGTGGCGATCGAACTCCACCCTCTTTTCGAACAACAAGGGCGACATTCGCGTAGCAAGCACATGCTATTGATTTTACCGAACACCGCCAGTCGACCTAACCTATATTTTCGACGGAAAGCAATGGGTTAAGAGGTTATATCGAAAACTAAGTAAAAAAACTGATGCTCTTCCAGTAATTTCGTTATATAATAAAGACAGTGCAACAAAAACCCTCTACGTGTAGTTATGTCGGGAAAAGGGCAAGAGATGACCCGAAACGGCCACGAATTGGCCCCCCTAAACAACGGCAGGGGCGGCGAGAACAGGAGCGGTAAGCCCGGTGTTACCATAGTGCTACAGGGACCTAGAGGTTCCATTATCTCAAGAGGTTCCAGAGGGAGTAATGCCATGGATGGGGACCCGGACCGGGCTGCGTGGTCCGGAAAAATGCAATTCTTTTTGTCAATTATCGGATATTCCGTCGGACTCGGTAATATCTGGAGGTTCCCGTATCTTTGTCAACAAAACGGTGGAGGTAAATAAACAGAGAAACCCTTTAAGATGTATTTATTATTTAAGAACACGTTTTCCATAAACATATTTTTATCTGAAATCGGCAGTAAAGTAGAACTTTACTGCCGATTTAATACGAGTATTGTATGCAACCCATTATAAATTTTAAGATGTGTCTACTGCTCCTCAGTAGCAACTAAATAATATTTTAAAAAAGCACCGTCGCGGTCCATAAAGAAGCACCTGAAACTTTTTTTTCTAAATTCCAAAGACTAAAATTAATTTATAATAACCTTTATCCTACCAAACGCCACTGATCGACTAGGAACTTTAGGCTAATCTGGTTGCCTAATTCAATTTATTATGTTATTGTTGGTTACACCCTGCTTGGTTACAACAGCGTTTCGAAATTCTGTCAAAAAAGTTGATAAACATTGTTTAAGTTTAGCTTTATTACAAAAATGACAAAATTTACAATGCAAATTGTCAATTTGGCGTTTTTATTAATTGTTGGTTATGTCATTTTTGTACTGAAGGTAAATTCAAAAAAAATCTGCCAACTTGACAGAATCTAGTACATTTCTTTCAAATTTTAGGTTATGTGCTCAAATTGTAAATATCTTAACTAAGGGAAGTGCTTTTGGATTTATTTACACAAATTAAATGTTTAAAGTTTAACCTGTGAACTGGTCCCAATTTTGTGGTTATGAATTTTTTAAAATAGGTACTAAATTTTCTAATCATTGCTTAAGCTAATAGCTGGATGAGTAAATAAATACAGAAGGGTATTAGAGCTTTAAGGGCATAAAACTTTTGTATTTATTGAGTTTTTATTTATTTTTTGCAAGAAAAATTTTTAGTAACAATTTTTTACATCTGGCAACGCGCAGCTACTTTGTTGGTTGGTATCTATGTACTCACAGAACACAAGTGTGCAGAGATAAACCAAGTGTGTAACCAGTGGCGTATCACAAAAAATATAAAAACTTCTATTGCATATTTTTTCTTCATCTTTGGAAAAATATTTTTTTAAATATTTTTCCTTTACTCCTTATGTCAAAAGGTATTCAGTATTTTAATATATAACTTTAATTACATAACACCCTGTATATATAATAAGTTAATTTTATTAATTAAACTGCGCACCACTCAATGTGTCGCGACCAAAAAGTTCGTTCTTTTTTAAAACGACATAACTTTTTCGTTTCTTGAACGATTTTATTTTGGTCTGTGATATCTCTTAGCCCCATCCTCTGGCAATTCATGATATATATATGAAGCTTAAGTTTCTTCAAGTAAATTTCCTACAGCGTGATATGTTAAACGGTGAAAAATTTCAATAACTTCATCCAAGTCCCGTTTGTAAAAAAATAATTTTGTTCTCGTTTTTACTTTGAAATAATGAAGTATTATGTCTTACCTTGAAACATTTTTAAAATTTTTGGAATTGGAATCTTGACAACGAAAATATGATTTTTTTAAAAAAAAAGAGTACATTTTTTGTAGGCAATTTAACAGCCGGAAATTGTTTTCGAATTTCGATTCTTAGTGATTTTGGTTTTATCTGAAACTTAAATTTGACAACTGAATCACAATCAGAAGGTCAAAATTATAAAGAAATCATGTCACGAACGTAAATATCGGTTCAGGATTAATTTTCACAAATTTTCACCAAAATGTCATTTTGAAAAAGTGGTCTTTGCTTAGGCCCCTCTGAAAATAATGGAAGTTTGTTGCTTGTGGCTTGTTCAGAATTATTCAAGGAACAATCTTTCACCATCTAATCTCCTTATTCTTAAAAGGACTGAGTGTATTGCCTACCAAAAAGCCTTAAATATACTCTTTTGAAAAAAAAAATCAAATTTTCTTTGCTAAGATTCCAATACAAAAAATTTGAAATCCTTTACAAGGTAAGACATAATACTTCAATATTTCAAAGTAAAAACGAAAAAAAAAATATTTTTTTACAAACGGGGCTTGGATGAAGTTATTGAAATTTTTGACCGTTTTACATATCACCCTGTACGAAATTTTCTTGAAGAACAGTGAGCTTCATATCTATAGCATGAATTGCCAAAGGATAGGGCAAGCAGACATCACAGACCAAAATAAAATCGTTTAAGAAACAAAAAAGTTATGTCGTTTTGAAAAAGGACGAACTTTTTGGTCGCGACACATTGAGTGGTGCGCAGTTTAGATTAAAAAATCGCCGCGGCGGGCAAATATATAATAACCGTCGCAACAAACAGTATACGTAGACACTTCCTACATTCAAATGACATTTGATTTGATCATCAAATTTAATTTGATTTAATCATCAATATTAATTATTGGTATTATTAAATGTGATTTCGGGTAAAATTTAATATTCACCTCGGCATTAAAGTAATTTTTTATCACTCACGTGGTTATTTACCTCGGCTTTCGCCTCGGCAAATAATTTCTAAATTCGTGGTAAAAAATACGACTTTACTGCCTTGATACATAAATAACTATTTTTTTATTAAATAAGTAGGTAGGTAACCAAATTAATACGGAATATTTTATTTTGAAAATAAAATATAGTACCAATATTTAAAAAGATCAAAAAAAATCTAATGAGATTATGATGCTATTTTCTAGATACCCTGTGTATCAAATTAGTCAGTATTTCTTGATTGATTTTATTAGTTAGAACCATAGTTTACAATAGCATTTGTCCGTCTTAAAAACTAAATAAAGAGAAAAATAAAATAGTTTTTTAAGAAAGTTACGAAATACGGGTGTTTTACGTTCGTGATCCATTAAAAGTTTCTAAGGAACGGCAAAAGATATTGATTTGAAATTTTTAAACCGTTTATTATTCAATTAAGCCTATTTTTCTCAAATATTTTAAACAAAATTCCACTTCCGTTTTGACCGGATCTTTGTTATTTGAAATAGAACATCCCATATATTTTTACATTTTTAAATTCTACATCAAATTTTGAGTAAAATTGCTGTATCATGTCCTATACCTAAAGTGAATAGTTTTTGAGTTATTAATTTTTTTCGTTAAAATTTGACAAATGCGCGTCAATCAAAAACCTTAAAACATGTTTAAAAGATTCCATGTCAATTCTTTAACATTTCTTAACAAATTACCCAAAAAAATAGGGCAAATTAGGCTAATTTGAAACTTTTATATTTTAAATGAAACACCCTGTATGTTTTTACATAATCAAATAGAAAATTTAAAAAAATTTCGATATATGTAATTGTGAAACATCTCTGAAGTTATTAACTTTAGGTATAGGGATCTCGAAAACTATATAATTTAGGTGTAGTAAATTGTATTGTAATTTTACTCAGAATTTTATGTTGAATTTAAAAATGTAAAAATACATGGGGGGATGTTTTGTTTGAAATAAAGAAGTTCCGGTCAAACCTAAAGTGGTATTTTGTTCAAAATATTAAAAAAGATAGACTTAAATGGATTATAAACGCTTTTAAATTTCAAATCGATATTTATTTCCGTTCCCCTAAACTTCAATGGACCATGAATGTGAAACCCCACCATATATTCTAAAGCAATGTATATAATCGCCAAACAAAAAGATCAAGATTTGTTTCCAACATATATTTAATATAAGATAAACACAAATCTGTTTTTTATTAAAAAAAAAATCAAAAACTAAAACCGGGAATATTTTTTTTACTTAAAAAAAATTAAAATTGTTATTTTCTTTAAGTATTATGTAAAACCATAAAATATTTGAAGAAAAAAAATGATTTATAACAAAATAGAGAATTAAAAATCTGTTAGGGTAAAATAATAAGAATGGCTGTGTAAAAAATTTAAATGACGTTTTTTAACCTTTATTTTCAAATTTGTTCTGTAAAATTGTTCTGCATTGTAACGAAATTGCTCCTTAACATATTAAAACAGCGGAAAATATATATATATAGAAGCTGTTTTCAATGCCTTCGATGCAAATAGTAGGAAGAGCATAAGGAAAGTTGCAAGCAAATTTACCGTTCACAGTTTGGCTCTGGGGTACAGAACTAGTTGTTTAATTTTAACTTTAAAACGTTGGCGTCCTGAGCTCTCGGTATTGGCTGCTGCTTTTTCGCCCTCATTCGATTACACTATTACCTAGAATTTTTTATTTTTAAATTAGGCATTTCCATTGCTATCAGCACGCCCGCTTATTCTCTGTGGCGCGAGTTCTGGGACACCCTGTATAAATAAATACATCTGTTCTAATTCCAACCTCACTTTCTTCCAATTTATGACCCCATTGGTTTAAATCAGTAAATAATAAAATCAACCAATCACTGATGCCCAACAACGGGAATAATGAGTCATTTTTCCCGTTGTTATACTGGTTATCAATATACAGTATGTATATATGTATATACATAATATGTAATATTTTACATTTAATTCTTTATTAAAGTTTTTGCTTGATCTCAAACCTTTATTTTTATTGTTTATGGTTAATTTGCATTTTTGATTTGTTTAAAAATTTTGAACTAATTTTTTTTTTGTCGAAAAAAGAAAAAGTCTTACACTAAACGGTATTAAATAACTCTTTAATTAGTTATAGTCTGTTACGGAAACTTACAAAAAAAGTTGTATAACATGGATTTATAATACTAATTACTTTAATTTAATGAATTAAATTGGTTCTCAAATAAGTATTTTACACATTAAAAACCCTCAGCAATTGGTAGAACATTTTAAGCCCTACACTGCAAGCAGACATGATTTTAATACACTGCGCGTAAAAATTAACGCATAATAAGTTAAAAAATTCGCACTCTAAAACGCCTTTACCAATCTTTATAAAATTTTGGATAAAAATACTTTAACTTATATCTCAGTTTACCTGTTTTTTTGGTTTTTTGTTAAAATATCCTTAAAGGCATTTTATTTAATAATAAAAAAACTCTCGAAAAAAACTTTTATAGGGAAAAATGACTACTTTTCAGCAAAATAATCAAAAAGGGGTCATTTTTACCGAAGCGCTGTATCTTCGTTAGGCGTTTTAGATTTAATTTTTTTTACTTATTTTGCGTTAATTTTGACGCGCAGTGTAAGTTTAATCGATTTAATACCTACTACGACTCTTTTTAATGGAACTTTTATCCAATATAAAGGTCACCCTCAGTTTACCTTTTATGTTATTTCTCAATGAAAATACAACGATATTTTAGTAAATAAAATTATTTTTTCCCTGATAAAATGTGAATAAATTTAAATGTATACTTTATAGACATTTATAATTTTGTTTCATTTAATTGAGAAATAAAAAAAATAGACACATAAGTCAGTTCAAGAAGACTAAATACAGGATACTTATTGATAATTTACTTGTCAATTATAAATAAAAAGATAATTATGCCAAAAATAATAGCAACGAATTTGAATGTAAAAACCCTTTTGAGGGCAAAACTCCATTTTGATGAAATTATGCCAAATGCCACAATGGAAGAAAAAGTACATCGCCTTATGGACATTTTTGGAGTAAAAAAGTAACGACTTTAGTTTTATAAATATTACATCACACATTATTTTCACATTATTCACCATTGGACAACATTTACGTTCACAAAAAATTTTAATTTCTTTTATTTAAATTCTTTTCAAAGGGAAGATTATTATTCGCTATAGGAATACTTTCTCTTCTGGGCCGTAAAGCAACCTATATTTAACTACTTTTTTATATGATTTTACTCATCCAAGCACCACCAAAGCTAAATTAATTGCATTTTTAACTACGAATTTCGACAACTCAACTTAACAACTGCACAATGTAACCTACAATAATTTATACATAACCACAATTATATTTATAACTAGCTTAGTTTGTTTTAATCAATGCGACCAACTTGACAACTGTATTTACCAACCAAAACCCTAAATTTGCAACGTTGCCGCAGTCCAGATAAAAAAAACTTTATGTATTGTAAATTAACCAGCCAGCATTTGGTAGAATTTTGTGCGCACTCTATTTGGCGTAACATATTATGCATATTAGCTTCTATTTATGGCTTGACCGAGTTTGTTACAAATATTTGGTTAAATATGTAATTATTAATTATAAAATTACACACTATAATTTTCAATTAATTATTACTAAATATATAAGTATACATATCAAACTTCATGTAAAACACGAAATTTATTATGCCTTACTAAATGTTTACATTAATAAACCATAAAATGTTCATTAACATTTTAATCTGATTTAATTTGAAACAATTTTAATTTAATTTGTGTATATAAATTAAAACACTTTTCAGCAATTTTAAATTTTCATTATATAAAATTTTTAATACAAAAACCTAAACAATTTTAATTTAATTTGTGTATATAAATTAAAACACTTTTCAGCAATTTTAAATTTTCATTATATAAAATTTTTAATACAAAAACCTATATAACAAGGATAAAATTAATTTATCCTTGACTTTGTATATTGATTTTTACTAACCAAATAAATTGTTAGCCCATCCCAAAATGTGCTTTTTATTTTTAAATATTGTTTAACTTTTATAAATATACAATATTTTGACTGAATATTTGCTTGGTATAAATAAAATGGTCCAAATATTTTAAATGTAATAAAAAGCAATGTAACATTTTAAAATATACTATTTATTTAAATGCGTGTGTTTAAATTACCGAGTTTAAAATAAATCCTAGGAAATAAATTTACTGTTATTTATAAAACACTTTGGTTTCTCAACTTCATTATCAATCAATATTAGATTTATTAATGGTTGGATGCTCTCTATAACCACGGTGTTTACACATTTATTGTGATGAGTTTGTTTTATAAGTAAATACAATTGTTATGAAGCTTGTAAATCAGAGTCAGTTACATCCATACCCTTTATTTTAACATGTAGTGTTGGGATTTACTTGCGTCTATAATTGATCTGATTGATCTATGAGATCAATTTGTAGTTTTGTCGTCTTTGACCCGATGACCTGTACGAAACCCCGTTTTGAGACAGCAGCTTTAACACTGGACAAAAGATTCCATCTTACAAGTTGTAATGGTCCTGCACATGTTTACAGATATTCTGCTGCTGCAGTATTAGATGTCGAAAGATTTTGTAATTCAATAGGTCTCGAAAAACCGACCTTGAAGATCATGATGTATCTGTAACTTATGGTGTAGGTCCGAATTTCATACCCTACATGCACTACAAGAACGAGGTATTTAAACTATGGATTGGCCTGCTATTAATTCCGACCTAAATCCTATTGAACATTGAACAACATACACCAGGATGCTACAGCAGTAAGAAGAAATATTTATTAAAGAGTGAAAAAAACACAATAAGATATTAGAAGGACCATTTTATTTATGATAAGAATATGTGATGAGGTTATTTAAGGCAATGGAAAACAAAAAAACAATATTACTGGCTCTGGGTTACAGAACTAGTTGTTTAATTTTTACTTTAAAACATTGGCGTCCTAAAGTATGACATTCCTTTCTATCGACTCCTAGCTATGTTTAAATGTTTGCTCTCATTTGATTACACTATTACCTAGACATTTTTTATTTTTAAATTTGGCATCTCCATTGCTATCAGGACACCCTGTGTATTTAATTTAATTTAGCATATCAAATGCTTAAGGAAAATTAAAAAAACGTTTATTGCGTAGAATAAAGTCACATGATTCCATATCTGGGAAATTCTTTATAGATTTCTTCGTATTTATTATTTCAGCCGGCTTAAACCAAAATAAAAAATCCCTTCATTTAAATCTCAGCACAAAACTGCTCTAACGTTCAAGGTTAATTAATACTCAAGACAACACGTGTATCAAAATCAATAGCTGGATGCTTTGCGACCCTCTTTTCATCAACCTGGCATTTATTAACAATAAATGACGAACATTTTATATCTACAACGGTTCTTGAACTCGTAAAAGAAAAGAAAGATCCCTTGAAATTTCCTTTTTAAGCACTTGGGTCAAATTTTATGCTTGCACAAGGTGCTGGAAATTTATCAGATTAAAGATTAAATTACCCCTTATACAGGGTGCACCACAAGTATCCTTTTATCCCATCCATTTAGTTAGGGCACCAGTATTATTTGAAACTATGCAAATTATTTAAAAGGTGACCCTAAAGGCCAAACATTTAGGGGGTAAAAACAATTCAAATAAGGCACCTAAGGTAACAGATAATGAAACTGTCGATTTTCGGAACCATTTTCGTTAACACATAAAAAAATTGCAAATTTTATTAATTTTGCACTTTTAGGACTTTTCCACTTATGAACTCATGAAGACTAAAAACGTACATTTCTTTTTGTCTTTTTTAGAAAGTTGACCCCACGGTTTTACTTGGTCATCTCTTATTCTTCTGCGTCTCTCACGTTCTGCTTGTCTTTTAGCTTCGTTGGTCAACTTGTTTCGTGGTTTTGTCATTTTAATTACTTTCCCACTGAAATGAAATATTTTAAATTGGTTACATGTAAGGGACACGACAATGACGAGCACGGTAATGATGATTTTAAGGTTAGAGTGTTTTACAATGTTTATTCGAAAATGTAATGGAATTTTCAAGTTACCATTTGATTTTTGTTATGCAAGACTCCTTTGTATGAATGTAAATATTTTGTATGTCCATAAACTTTGAAATAATACTTACCCTGAAAATGACGGACCTAGACGTAACAAGCCGTTTTCGTTTTCATTCGGCGCACGTCACAACTTTATGGTTTGACATATGCTAGTGGACGTTAGATAGGCAGGATATTTCCATATCAGACGTTCGAAAACTTCCGGCATGTTCCGAATGTATCGCGTATTTAATGACATTAGACACATTAGAAATTAGACACATTTTAAGGCAATGACGCTCATGGGTGCGAACAAAGTTTAAACGGCATTTAAAAAAAAGTTAACATTTTAAATGCTTGTATTGTATTATTTTGTATTTTCTTCGTCTGTGTTAGACAGGATATTGCAAGATTTAAATTTTAAATAAATGTAAGAAAATAATGTTATTGTTCTACGAATGTGAACAAGGCACGGTAATGACGTTTGCGACACTAAAATTAAAATTTATTTTTACTATTCTCGTTTAGACTAAAATAACTAAGGAATCAAGTAAAAATTGTTAATTAAACTGGACATCAAGTATTTTATTTTCAGTGGTATATTAACTTTTAAAATAACAAGCCAGAGCCGATTGAATTACACTTTTGAAATATTCACCCATATTGTATAATGATTTATTAATCCCCCATTTCCTTTCTTCCAGGTGCCTTCCTGATTCCATTCGCAACAATGCTTATCCTTGAAGGCATTCCTCTGTTCCTGATTGAACTGGGAATCGGCCAGAAGATGCGGCTGGGCTCTCTGGGCGTCTGGAACACGATACACCCTTGGCTGGGCGGTATCGGCATCTCGTCCTGCCTGGTCACGTTTTTCGTCGCTCTCTACTACAACGTCATCATTACGTGGTGCTTCTACTATCTCTTCAACAGTTTCCAGGTGAGTTCCACGTGTGTCATCTTAATTGTGATAAAGGCGCACGTGTTTATACCCAATTGTGTTTTTCTATCATCAAGCATACAAATCTAGAAATGGCAAGTATAATTTGCAAAAAAAATGCTTAACTACTTATTTGTAGGTTGGATCAGTGAATTTTATATGCTTTTAAACCAACTGTTGTTGTAATAAATAAATTCAATAAGTCAAATAAGTACTTTTTTGTTATATTTGAAATGATATTAGATACCGGAATCTTTTTGGTTGTCTCCAATATTAAATTGCTTTAGAAGTTTTCAATTTCAATGTTAAGAGGTTCCTAAGTTAAACATTTACCTTCTTTAAAGTGCTGTAAAATATTTAATTTTGATAAAAATGTTGCTTTAAATCAATTTCCTAAACAACAAAAATTAACAAATAATGTATACAAAAATATACACAAAATAAAATAACATAATTTTTTGTATAAAACCATTTTTGTAGAGGTAATATGCAATTTTGTAAGCATTTTGTTAATTTCGAAGGTTACAGAATATTTTGTTAATGTTTAACAAGTTATTTCGTTGAAAAAGTACAAATGGCAGTCAATTAAAACTTTTCCCAATGACAATACGCATCAACTAGTTCAACTGACTTCAGTGTCTGCAACTTATGTTTCTGCTAACTTTATTCTAATTCTTAACGCGTTCGTAACAACTGTCCAGAGTGTTTATAATATATTAGAAATCTGTTATTATTATTATTTGGATTCCTTATACCTATTTAACGGGTGTGCGAAGTATCCGAAAAAAGATGCCACCACTGGTTTTTAAACTTAAATTAGGGGATACAGTGAAGTGGGTTAAAGTTACGAAATACATCATCAGTAAGAGTTGTAGCAGTACTGATAATTATATTGTACCAAATTTCTTTATAATTTGTTGATTCCAGAATGGTGTGATATTTAATTGTGAGTATGTTATTTTTGTGTTAATTTTTTTGTTTTGGAGATTGATTAATAAAGCAACATTTCTTATCAAAATTCTTTTCATTTAAGTTCACAATTTCCAACAAACACGTTTGTTAATGGGTCTACAAAAAGGTTTGTAAAAATAAGGTCGAAAATTACAAGAAATATGGTTGAATTATGGATATAGGATTTTGTTATTAAATCTACAAAATGTTTGTTATAATTACAAACTACTTATTCATTTAGTTAACAGATTACAGTTGGTTGTAAACAACATAAAGTTATGTGGACCTGGATTAACATAAAATCTGGTTAATATTTGGTTAAAATTAAGATATATTTTTTACTGTGTATTTGGTTCAATATAAATATTAGTACTACCACAATACTTACTGATGTATTTTGTAAGTTTAACCCTATTAACTTAACTTAACTGTTGTGTTTGTAAGTAAAGACATTGTTTGTGTTTGTAAGTAAATAGTATTTACTAAATACATAAACAATATAAACTATTTATTTTACAATAATAATAAAAGTTTATTGTTCAACAGATATATAATTCAAATACAGAACAAATTAAATACAAAAAATAGTAATAAAATAAAAATAAAATAATATACAAGCAAAAAATAAAATATAATAACATTATGTTGGAAAATTGGTGTTTAAGTGACTAACTATAAATCCAATGCTATCAAAGTTTGTCACAATTATTACAATAGTTATTGAAATTATTGCACATAAAGTTAATTGGCGACTTAAGCATAAAATTAGATCTAGCGGACAGTAAAATGAAAGGTTGGTACGAGTATTTCGCGGTGTTAAAAAATGTATTTGATTTAATATTAAAGGTGCGTCTATTTTGTTATTTACCAAGTTATACAAAAATTTAACACTTAATATGGCTCCCCTTAGATGCAGGGAAATTAATCCAAATTCCTTTAAAAGAGTAAGGAGGTTATAACCCTGAAATGGATATACACCGTTTTTTTTTCAAACATAAATTTAAAAAACCTGCCTTGAATTATTCATACATATATGATTGGAGAATTGAGTTTTACCCCCTCGATCTAATTGTCTTCCAAAATAAGCGTTTTATATAAATATAAATAAACAAGCCTAGTTTTCATAGTTTTGTTTTTTTTCAGTACCCTTTGCCATGGGAAAGCTGTCCTGTTATCAACGGAACAGTTGTGCCCGAATGCGACAAGTCGTCGGCGACGGCGTATTTCTGGTACCGCGTAACCCTAGACGCTGCTCCGTCCATCGAGGAACCCGGTGTACCCAGATGGTGGATCGCACTTTGCCTTCTACTGTCATGGATTATCGTCTTCTTCATCGTAATGAAGGGAATACAAAGTTCAGGAAAGGTAAAAATATAGTAGTACATTAGTCATTAGGAGAAGAAGTGTCTATTTTTGATGAGTTCAAAAGATTGCTGCCGAGGCAAAGCAATTGAGCGAAGCACAACAAGACCTTCTTCTTCGAATAACAACTAAATATGAATGACTATTAATGACAGACGCTTTGCCCGAAGGCATAGGCTGAGATAATATAAAGTACACATTTTCCCAGTATACAAACAAACTAATCCATCTAATGCCCATCACGGCTTTGCTGGCTCACCCTCCCTCTTTTAATAAAATTTTTTATTACATCCTGGCATATGTGCTGCTGAATTTCGCCAATAACGCGACGAATATCGTCTTTAAGTTGATGAATTGTTGCTGGTTTGTTGACCGAAATTCTTCAATTTTGTTTGTTCACCTAGCCACTGAGATGAAAGTTCGCTTCATCGCTAAACAAAATTGTCTTTGCAAATTAAACATATTGTGGCCTTGTCAGAATCCAATTAACAAATTTCCGGCGCATTGCGTGAACTACTGGGATTAGCTCCTGTGTTAATTGAATTTTGTATGGGTGCTTTTATTAAAATTTGCGATTAACTGCTTTTCAAAATAGCAACTTGGGAACGATGACGAATCCAGGTTTCTGCATAGCATTCTCCATATTTATAATGAGTCTTAAGAATAGTAACATGTTGTTCTAAAGAAAACCGCTCCATGAGTTATAAAATCGAAATGTTTTTCCACTACAGAAATCATTTTTTTAAGGTTGCACTTTGCGAAAATAGGAAGATGGCGAAATTTAAATCCGGCGTTTTTATTAGATAACCTTTAATATGTTGGAAGTTAAGTTCGATAACTGCTGACAGTTCTAATTCTAGCTAACCACACTTTATACTGTAAATAATGTCTGACCTATACTTTTTATGGTTTTATTCAAGGCGTTTTGTAATTTTAAACATTTCTGTGAAATCGGAATTTCAATTGAGTTTACCGTTTTCGAGATATTTACAAATAAAAATCTTCTAATTACGTCACTAGGCTATTGACAACGTTGCCAGCCTTTTCTATGTTTGCCAGTGTGTTTAGTTTAAGATTATTACGATAGATGGCGCCACGTTATAATTTTAGTTGAGAAGAAGAAGAAGAATTGATTTTTTGACGTCTTTTTTTTGGGTTATGTTTTTTTTTTAAATTTAGATTATTGAAAATCAATGTTATTGTTATGTTATTTGTAATTGATATTAGATAAGTGATTTATTAATAACGGACTCCAAAGCAGAGGAATCTTGTGGAATGGTTGGTTACATTGAACATTGGAGCTTTTAAACAAATAAATTAATAATCCACTCCAAATAGATACTTTCTCTTCATTCAAGTTTGAATAATTTTAATCAAAATGTCTATTTGTAGACCCTGCACTATCTTTACGTACTATGTACGTTATTGCAGCAATATTTAAACCAGAATTGTCGAAAAATACAAAAACAGTCCAAAAGTTTGTCATACATTTTTTAAATCTTACAAAAGGTTTTGATGCTCATCATCAGGGATGCAAGTTTTATAAAAACTATACACAAATATCATAAATACCATTGTTAACTTACATTTACTGTTATTTTTTGTAAAGTTATTTCATTCATTTTCAGCTTTATTTTGCCACTTTTTTCTATGAAATATATGAAACTCTGCTTTAGACAGTTATTAGGTACCTATTTATTACATTTTATTAGGTTTCACACGGTGTTTCAATGTGTAAACCTATCAATAAAACTTTTAATTTCAGAATTTTCTTTAACCTCCTCTTCTTCTTCTTTCACTCAACTGACAGTGACAGTATTTGTACATAACCTCTTCGGGTATTTTCTGACATAACCGAATGAAATCATTAACAAAACAACTTGATAACAGGGTAATTTTCAACCAATAGAAATCTTAGAATGTTGGTCACATGGCGAGGTTTGTACGTCATAAAAATTTATATTTTTTGTAAATATCTCGAAAACGGTAAACTCAATTGAAATTCTGATTTCACAGAAATGTTTAATATTACAAAACGCCTTGAATAAAACCATAAAAAGTATAGGTCAGAAAAAATTTAACTACCCCATTGTTATATAATTGCAAGTAAAATGTTTTATCTCCTCGCGGTCTATAATTTAAACTTTATTGTTGTCAACATTCGATAAAGAAATACCTTGTTATGGCCTAGGCCGATAAAAATTTTTATGAGGCAAGTAATTAGTTTGATTTTTTCTCGCTAGGGGTATTGTTTTGACAAATTAATCCTTTTCTAAGAAATTAACGTACTAAACTGGTTTAATTTATTTATAATAAGCACTAATTTGTTTGTTTTACTGTTAATGTTTAATATTTAATGTTTAATATCAGCATTATGAAATAAAAAACTATTAATTGGAGAGCGCAATCTTTTTGTTTATACAATTTATAACTTTTCAAAATTGAATTTTTTTATTCATATTGTAAAATGAGGTATAATCTCGAACTTTATCCAATTTATTGGATTTTAACAAACATTAGGAGTTCGGTTAATCTTGTTCCATTTTCAAACGGTTGTATAATCGATTTTTATTGCTCTGAATTTTCTATGGTACTTATAAATATGTAGCATAAATCAGTGGCATAGCTATAAATTTAAATCGCCCATAAAAATAAAGTAAAAAAATTTTAGTCAGCATTGTATTTTCCAAAAATGCTTAAAGCTTATGGGAGAGGCCTTTTTATATTCTGGCGTCTATGGTTACAACTTTTTATAAAAAGATTATATATGGGGCATTTCACGGACACCATTTTTATTTTGAACAGTGTTGTAAAAAGGGGCTCGATTTGGCGTGTACCATATAAATATAATCTGTAAATGTAAAATGATATTTTAATTCTAACCATAGGCGTCATAATGAGCTTTGACTGCCTTAAAAGTATTTTTGGAAATGACAGTACAACAAGGTCAAATCGATCTAAAATCTTTCCTAAATTTTCATTCCCCCTTTATTTTTCGGTGAAGTTTACAACCTAAGTTTGAAATAATAATAATAAAATGTCAAAGGCCATCTTTTATGAGCACCAACTCCATTAGAATTAATTTTCGAATTTGACCTACAAACCTATATTAAATTGTATAGAATTTGCTTTATTTGTCCTGAAACTTTGTATAATAAAACATTTAAATCGTATAAAACTTCAAAACATTTCACTCCAACTTATAGCAGATTGGTAGTTGATCGTATAGTCGTTTAAGGTCAATAATTGAATAGTAGAGAATATTCGCCATTTTTGGTATGTGAGTGACATTGAGAGGGTGTCATTTTTGTATACAAAATTAGAGAGGTCTTTTTAGTATTTTGGAATTAAGTTAAAAGGAAAAACTTGTATGATCCTGGAAGATATGTATTTGGATTAATTTTTTGACTGCATTTCTTATTTAAATAGCAAAGTGTGTACTCATGGTACGATTATCTTTAAAGGAGATTCTAAACCTTAAAAAAGTCAAAATATTAAATACTAGGTACAATTTAATTAATGATGCATCATTATCCTTCCTATATTTAAACAATTAAATTGTCTTACGCTTGTTCCACTTCCACCTGTTTTTATGACACTAAATGATCTTTTATATACACATTGACAAGTTGTGGCTTTATGGTGCTTTAGTCATTGGCTGAAGTTTGCAGCAGGTTTTTAGTCACGGTCTGAAGTTAGCTTTGACAGTTGTCAAATGTCATGTACTCGTTAAAATAAAAAAAAATGTGAAAATTATTGTATTGTATTGATTATCTATTGTATTTGTTTTAGGTTGTTTACTTTACATCCATGTTTCCTTACATGGTCCTCACCATTTTCTTTATAAGAGGAATCACATTGAAAGGAGCTGGCTCTGGAATAATTCATATGTTTTCACCAAAGGTAAGTTGAAATTTAATATTAATCTCATTTTTATTTTATATGAATTTTAACGTTTGAGACACTGTTACATTGTTTCTTTGAAGTAACACATACCAATAAAGAGAAAATATGACCTTGAACTTTATTCAAACGAAATTTACGAGTCGATGAACATTTTAAAAGAGGCAAGAAATATCGAACCAGACTTTTTAGGTTTTATCAATAAATAAACGATACCAAAACCTATTTATCCACCGGATATTCTTTTACTGGACCCAAACATGTTTATTTTGTTTCAGGTTGAAAAACTTCTGGATCCGAAAGTTTGGCTGGATGCGGCGACCCAAGTCTTTTATTCTTTCGGTCTGGCTTTCGGCTCGCTGATCGCCTTCGGCTCCTATAACACGCCCAAAAACAATTGCGTCCGAGATGTCATCCTTGTGTCCGTTTGTAACGCCATCACTGCAATCTACGCTAGCGTCGTTATATTCGCCATCTTGGGATTTAAGGCGGTCAGCAATGTTGACAAGTGCATTGTAGAGTAAGTCAACAAGACCTATTTTATTTTTACAAAAATGGTGTATTCAGCGCCCGCAGGAAATATTTAATTCCCTGATTGTTCAGATCTTAACTGAAAGTGTGGTTAAAACTACAAACTACCTCCATATCGAAAAAATAGGTTGATTTTTTATTATATACACAGGTTACTTTTATGCTCCAAAAACCTTTCAAAAACGTATTATAACTTTTCCAGAGCTGGGTATTTTGAATAGTTAAGTCAGCTTAAGACTGATGGGGTGAATCTTTTGGAGGCGATGTTAGTAAACCTTTCTGCCAAAGTGACCACGGTGAAAAACAATTTCTACTTCTTCTACAAGTTTTTGTCTTTGGATATTAAAAAAGAAATGATTCTACACCAACATTTTGTATAAAAAAGACTTTCTCTTGACCTTAATTGAGGTGGACAACGACGAGGTAAAATAAAAGAGGTAATGTAATAAACAAATATTAGAAATATTCCCCAACACCGAAACAAAACACAAAATGCTTAAAGTACTTTTCGCCAACGATGTTAGCATCTTCAGAAGCGAAATGTAAATCTAACTACTAAATCTAACTTTCGTAACTATCCAGCAGGCTTGGTTAACTAACTTCCTTAGTAAGTTTAAGGTTGTCGAATCCTATTCTATGACTATCATCAAGTATATGTTACAACAACTCGATTTCTCTATCCTACCAAATCTAGCATGGTTTAGTTTGTCCAACATATTTCTTGTCACAATCTTGACACTTTATTTCCTAGATCCCCGAATCTTCAATTTTAGGAATCATAATCATAAACCTATCTTTTGTGGGCTCTGTTGACTCTGTAGGAAAAGACGTTAACCTACAAAGGAGAAATTTAATTTTATCTACTAACTTATTAACTAAGGTGAGTTCAAAACCATTGCCTCTAGCAATGTCTTTTATAAGACTGAGCTCTTTCTTGTACCTACTGTTACTAAGTTACCAACCTACAATCAAGAAAGTTAAAACTAGCCTTCTTATGTTGTGTGCAGTGGTTTTCTGTAGATTCTGTAGGCCATCTTTTATCAATTCAATGGTGAGTTTAATAGAGAGAATATAATTATTCAATTTGCAAACAAAAGCATCTAAGCTGCAAGCGCTTTGATAGAAAATAGCAAAGATATCGCCCAAGTAGGTATCTTAACCAAATCCTTGGAAAATACCCCGGGCTACTAAGATTGTTCTCAAAGCGGATCATAAAAAACGGCTAAAAAGGGATTTTCCATATCAGTCCCTTCATGCTGTTTATAAAGCGTGGGCAATCTATAAGTTGAATTTTAAACTACGAAGCTTTCAACTTAAGCGCCATGAATTGCTGACAGTGGTTTAGTTTTAACCTTCCGATTACAAAATATGCACCGAATAAATTTGGATCAACGTATCGAAATACTCAAAACTTACTTTGAATGTGACTGGGATCGCAGAGACGGCAAGAAAATTGCGTTTGGAAGAAATGAGGCGCCGTCAAACCAAAGTATTACAAATTTGATCAAAAAATTGCGCAGAAATGGAATGCTGGTGGACATAAATCATGTTTCGCATGCTCGTCCTAGACGTTCACCTAAAGCAATCGCTGCTGGCGCAGATGTCAACAACTCGGCCAGTCAGATGTCAACAACTCGGCCTTTCCCGTACCACTCTAAGGATGATTCTGCACAAAGACCTCGGTATGTTTGCGTACAAAGTCCAGCTTGTTCAGGAGTTAAAGCAAGTTGACCATCCACAACGTTTTCGCTTTGCTGAGTGGGCTTTAAACCAGTTGAATTTTGCAAGAAAAATCATCTTTTCGGATAAGGAGCATTTTTACCTCGGAGGTTATGTCAACAAGCAAAACTGTAGGATTTGAGCCACGGAAAATCCACACGTCGCCGTAACAAAGCCTATTCACCATTAAAAACAAAACATTCAAGCTCAAATTGCCTAAATAGAGCAGCTTTTGACAAAGTGTTCGAAAGTTGGTGTTCCAGGATGGGCTACTGCCGAGCCAGCTGAGGTGGCCACTTAAATAAAATCATTTTCCATACTTAATCGGAAGAAACATTGTATCAAATAAAGCAAAATTCGTTGAAAAAAAAATCAGTTTTTCTTGTTCTCATTGCTATTTTAAAATTCAACATAAACATGGCCCACCCTTTAGAAGCAACCGTTGACTACAGTTTTGCCTCATGCAGCCTGATGCTAACTTGAAGTATCAAGCAACAGTCTCATTGGAAAAACTATTTTCTTTGAGTATATCCTCCAGATAAGTCAAAGTAAGTGTTACCGGGACACTTGGAAAAAGAGAACTTACATCAAATGAAACTATTAACTCACTGTCTATGACTTTCTCGATAAACTCCATTGAGTTTTTAACTGAAAAACTGGGTTGCTAATGTTATGTTAAAATACTCCAAAAGCATAAATGTATTCCTAAGACCTTCCTTGTCGACATAGAGCATATTGGCAAACCTGATACATTTTTGAACAGTTTTTGAAGCATAAGAGAAACCTGTGTGTATTATCAAAAATCTACAAACTCACTTTTTTGACAGGAGGGTAGTTTAAAGGGCGTATTTATGAAACCACTGCACCCCTGTTGACGCCTTTTTAAAAACTTATCAAGCAAAGTTTAGTCTACAAAATATCTAAAGGAGAACTTTCTAGACTATTTTGTTCAAATTGTAGAGATCTTTAATTTTGCACATAAACACTGTATTGGTATTTTATTTTTGTCATTTCAGCAATAAAAACCTTTTGATGGCGCATGGAATCATAGCAAAAATGGACGTATCCAAAGTTTCCGACGAGGTATATGCAAATGCTATTAAAGTTAATGCAAATTTTGTGCGAGAATGCTCTCTGGCCAGAGAGTTGGATGCTGTAAGTTTGAAAATCAATAACACCCACGACATGACAAACTTTCATTTTAATATTTCCTTTTAGGCTGCAGAAGGTACCGGATTGGCTTTCATTGTATTTACTCAGGCCATTGTCGAACTACCGGGTGCGCCTTTTTGGGCGGTCATATTCTTCATGATGCTGCTGTCGCTTGGAATTGGTTCGCAGATCGGGATTTTGGAGGGAATGCTTTGCACTGTTTTTGATATTGAAATATTGAAGAGAATAAGTAAACAATATGTTACAGGTTAGTACCTTTTATTAGAAACCAATAACTATGTTATTAGAATTTCCGATACAAACACCACTAAACCTTTAAACAGCATGTTAAAAATTCCATTAAAATAAAAATGTTCTGTCTACACTTCTTAGAACTCGTTTAAGGATTAAGTAACACAGCAAACGGAAAAATATAAAGGTGTATTGGATGACGCCACGTTTGAATACAGTTTTCTAACCTCGCCACGGTATAGAGTTGTATTCGTCAGTCAAGTCTCTCCACAGTATAGAGGTCGTAATTTCACTTTTGAACTAGTATTAATATAAAAATTATTTTATGCTTAAAAAAACTATATACGATATGATTGTGATTTTTTTCATTTTATTAATTAATTAAGCTGTGTTGAATATTTTTTCCAAAGGAATAATTACCAATGGGCCATTAATTCATTTGTTCGTAGATGCTACAATAACCTGCACTGGTGTGTACTTTTTCATCAACCAGATTTAAATATTGCTGTACTAACATATACCAGTGGAGATAGTGCAGGGTCTACCAACAGACCTTATTACTAAATTATTAAAGTTTAATAGCATATCGATCATTTTTTCAACATAACCTCTGAAATTTTTAATACAAATATAGGTACTTTATATAATACATAAATATACTTAACATCATATCCTCTGTGCTTTACATACCTGAGTTGTTACGGTAAATAAAAATCAGACAAAGGAACCAAAGAAAGGAACTACTTTCAACAAAATCATATGCAGAAATGAGAATATTCAAACTACTTGCATCCATCAAAAGATCAAAACTTCTTGCAATATTACACCCTCTTTTTATACTCTCAGAAATATTGACTAGAACAGTATTAAAAAGACTCCAGTTTCTATAACTTGGTAGAGTAAAGAGAAGTCGAAACTGTTGCGATATTGCATTGCGCTGTTTTTGTATAATTCTCGGGGACATTTACGAAAATCATTGCCAGTAAAATTCGAAAAGCTTGAGTTTCTCTGTCTCTGACGAGAATAGGAATCCGAAGTTGCTGCACCATTGGACTGAACCCTTTTTTAATAATTTCTAGAGACATAAATGACTGCACCATTCGACAAGGTCGAGTTTCTACCTCTCTGTTGAATATAGAAAATCAAAATAATGTATCTTGTAAGACACCATTGAGTTTGACTTTAAATATAGTCGGGCATTGGTATAGAGCCGAAAAATATAAAAACAAAGCACGATTGAATACAGTTCTGATAAAAATTTAAGATTTAATATTCAAACGCGGAGTCATCCTATACAGTTCTATATTTTTCCGTTTGCTGTGAACATTGGTAAAACGTTATCTTTTCTTATTGAGTTGTGCTTTAGTGGGTTTTCAAGTTACATGGCATTATCGATTATGTTCCCATTACCTTCCTCTTGCCTTCATTGACCAGGTTACGCTGTGAAACCACTGGGTGTGTTTCTTGAAATTTTCAATAAGAAAAGTAAACAAAAACATACATTTTAACATATTTATTTTTAGCCGTGGTTTGTATAGTATGCTTCTTCGTGGGGCTAATTTTCACCACCGGAGCCGGAGAATACTGGCTGAGCATGTTCGATTCCTTCGCCGGTACCATCGGTTTGGTGGTGGTGGCTCTAATGGAGATGATCTCCGTGGTTTACGTTTACGGCCACGAAAGGTTCACCAAAGACATACACGACATGACCGGCATCAAACCGGGAATCTACTGGCAAGTGACATGGAGGTATCTGGCTCCGGGAATAATGGTGGTCATTTTGGTGTCGTCCATTATTTCCATGCTCATTAATCATCCCATGTACGCTGCTTGGAGTGCTGAGAAGGTAAGAAAAGATCATTTTACTGCCCAATTTAGAATATAAGTTTGACAAGACAATTTAGAAAAAAGTTTAATGTCCACTTGCACCGTAAGTTTAACAGTGGTTTTATTTTTAACACAGGTTTATTTTTCATAACTGGCTTGCACCGTAAATTAATCCTTGTTTAAATACCTCTAAACAACTGTTAAAATAAACCCCCAATTTCGGTGGTTAACGATTTATAACCTCAAAAGTACTAGTCAAGATCTTTTTTTTTCAAAGATACTATTTATTGACATCTTTAGCAAATCCAATAACTATAGTTATAGGTATAGAGGTCAGCAACTCTATAATGAGTCACTACTAAGAACCAGAAATATAATAGAAAGAGTATTTGGAATTTGGAAAAGAAAGTTTCCAGTGTTGGCATATCCCTTGTGGAAATTTTTCTCTGAGAAAGTCTTACTTTCTCTTAAAAAGTCTGAATAATACTTATTAAGTCGGAAAAAGTCAGAATAAGACTTATTAAGTCGGAAAAAGTCTGAATAAGTCTTATTAAGTCAGACTAATAGCAAGATTTGGGAGTCTTCTGGAAGAGTTAATAAGACTTTTTAAGACTTAATAAGACTTTTAGTAGATAAATGGTAGGTATACCTATGGCGATAAAAATAAATATCCGAAATAAAAATTTGAGGAGCGCCCCCTTTTTTTCAGGATCTGTATCCATATTATTCTCTCTTACCATCAACTGAATAGGTCGTAAATGAAATAGAATCGAACCATAGATGATAAAGAATCGAACCAGATTATAAAGAATCGCGATTCGATATCGAACTCTTAACGTCAAAATATATTTGCGTCACAAATAAGTGTGAAGTTAGTTATTAGCACCAATCTTTTCCATTTTTTAGTCAAATTCCCTAGATCACTAGTTCAATTTTAACCATAGTAAAAAAAATCACGGTGCAAGATTTGGGACACTAATCTTCTGTTACCTTTTAACTTGTCAGTTTATTTAACTGATCAGTTAGAGAAAACGGTGCAAGTGGCCATAAACAATTCAACCATTCAAAACTGAGATTTACGCCTTATGCAATTCAAAAGCAAGACCCTCATGAATTAATTAAATTAACAGACACGTTTAAAATAAAACCCGCATCCACTTTTTGCGTCGCAACTTCTATTTATAAAACTTTAAACAGGTACATTTGCAGTAGTATTGATCAACAGTTGTCTGCGGTCTCTTGGCAACAAGAATTGTTAATGGAATAAAGTTCATGGCCAACGTGATTTTCGACCGATATTGTGTATATATAGATACTACTTTACCTGGTCGTGCCCTAATTTTTGCCCATTACAAAAAGGAAATATTTACTGGAAGCACGAAGTACACAAACAAACAAATCAATGTGCTTTGTATTCATTCTGTAGATTAGATTTTAAGTGTTTTGCTTTGGCTGTATTTCAAACAGCAGGATAATAATTTTTAATTATGTAAAGTACTAAATCACAAGTATTTTTCAGACCATTATTTTTATTTGATTTTCAGGGAGATGTCGTAAATACCCCATACCCCTCATGGGTGTTGGCAATTGCGATTACGATGGTTTTGGCGGGTATTTTGCCCATACCAATAGTGTTTCTATTGCGAAGATACCAATGCCTAAAGATGGATATCAACATACATGAAGGTTCCATTAGAAGAATCGACACTACAGTGTCAACAAAGGAAATGATAACCGACGTTGATGTAAGTATTTTTAATTTAATAGCAATTTTTGTAAGATACATTATAAATGTAAAGCACTTTTATGCCCAGTCACTTTGGTTTGGTATGCCAAGAAATTGGGATATTGCTTTTTTCAACATAGTAGCTTTATTTTGTTGTTTTATTAATTGTTAATCCACAAGTGCAATACAAGGTTTAATCCATAATTCACATATAAGGTACTAAGGGTATAATTATGCGGATCACAAACACAAAATTTTAATATTTTGGAAAACTGTATGTCAACACAAAGAAGCTAAGCTAGCAAGATTGCTATTAGGGATGATTACAAAAAATGAATCGTGAAAAAACAACCAAAGTCTCAAGATGGAAGAAGTCGAAAAAGATTTTATTACTTCATATACGAGGTGTGTTCAGAAAATATCGGGAATTTTAGTTTTTTGAAACAAATATTTATTTATTCATCTACATTAATGTTGTCGCCTTCAAAATAGTCCCCATTGGATATTATGCACATGTGCCAGCTCTTCTTTCAATACTCGAAACACTTCTAAAACTCGATCTTTGGGGTAGCCTTTTGTTCTTTCAGCGATGCGCTTTTAATGTCATCTATGCTTGCAAATGGAGGCTGGGGTATCATTATAATGTATACAGTATTGTGTTTGGCCAAAAATTTTGTTCAAAATTTAACAATTTTAGAACAAATTTTGCTGCCACGCTTTTCATACCCAAAACCTTCGAAAAAATTTCATGGGATGAGCCAATCGATATACCAACATCATCAGCGACTTCTCTGATGGTTTATAACCATTTCTTCCACTTTTTCCATGTTTTTATCGGTTGTTAATGTGCTTGTGCGTTCGGGGAGTTCGTCATCTTCAACGTCTTCACGGCCATCTTGGAAACTCTTATACCACTTGTAAACTCTTGTTTTACTTATAGCAGACTCATTATAGGCCTTTGTTAACATTTCACAGAATTTATTTCATTTTTTAAGCAAAATTGGATACAAATTCTTTGATCCATTTCTTTTAACGAACGAAAAATCGCCGAGCTCATAAAACACGTCTAACCTTAGCGGCTGCCACAGACAAAGTAAACAATGAAAACAGCTAAAGTTTTTATCATACTTCGGGGGCATGTATACCAACATAATAAAGAAAATTTTATGACAACCGGACCCTCTGAACCCGCGAAATTTAACAATTCCCGTTATTTTCTAAACACACCTCGTATAACCATGAAGCTTGAAAGCAAAATTTGTCAAATTAAAAAATTGAGAAGATTAAGGCAATTATGCTCGTTTTTGAAAAGAACTTTCAGAACCTAGTGTCTTATGGATGGAGTATAAGACACTGGTGTGTTTAACCTTAATAATGGGTCCAAATCAGTATAGGCAGAGCTGGAAAAGTTACTTCTGAAAAGTATCTAGTTACTTTTCTAAGATACTTTAAACAAAATAACTTAGTTACCTCTGGTAACTAGATACTTTGAGTTAAAAATATCTTTAGTTACAAGATACTTTAAAAATTATCTAAGGTACTATCCGAAAGTATCTAAGGTACTATATGAAAGTATCTAAGATACTTTTGAGTAACTAAGTTAATTTCAAGTATCTTTTTTTTCAAGAGTCTCCCAGCTCTGAGTATAGATATGCTCTTGTAATATGTGAATTATAAAAAAATAATGCAAATTACCTTCCTTAAAATATTTTATTCTTGCTGAACGTAATTTTGATGCAATTTCTTGGCTTAAAAGTGACTGGGCATTTATCAAAAAAATTTGGCCTGTACGCTGATTTAACTTGTGTTAGGAACAATTAACAAGTCCCGATGGGCCATGCGTCACAGCCACGAACACGCTCAAAAATAAATTCACTATCGGCGATTTTGAGGTTTAATGTAAGTTATGGAGATAATTGGTTTTGGTTGGCTTTTAGATTCGCATGATTGCCTTTGCATGGTTTTCGACAATTTCATATATGATAATAATCCGCATGATGTGTTTCTGCTTTTACATGTTGCAGTTCTAGTTGTAAAACTAGCACGAACTGATACGGAATTTTTTTATTACAGTACATTTAATTATTTTTGGTGTTTTTTATATTATACAAGGTTTTTACACGTTTCCGTTTTTAATTAATAAATATGGTATAATTACAGGAGGCAAAAAAAGTAATTTGAATTGCATTCAATATTTTTCCACTACTATTGCACAATATCACATTATTTGTTTTTTTCTATACAAGGTATCCCTAAACTTATTGGCATATTTTTAGGAAAAGATTGAGCAAGTAAAAATAAGACGAAAACCTAAATAAATATTTTTTCTAATTACTTTTGTTTTCAAGATACAGGGTGATAAAGTGTTCATATCAGTTTTTTTAATATAACTTCTGCTATGGTAGTATTGGAAAGGAGATATTTTGCGAACAGTCATTTACTACCAAAACACATATTCACACATAATTACAATTGTTTGAGTGAACACAGTGTCGTAGAAACGGGGGTTGCTTTAAGCTTATTGTCCCATACAAACTTTGAGGTTAGGTTTTTGCAACATTTGATGCAAATTTTTGATTACACAGTTCGGCTACCATTAAAAAGGTGTACTTACGTCTCAAACTTCGATAAAATAAACCGTTTCCAAAATATTCGAGATTATAATAATTGTTATATCGCATTATTTAAAAGGATTAAAAGGTATATGATAACAAATTTTATTTTTTAATTGGAAAAACTAAAAAGGGCATTTCATGAGCCTCGGGACTTTTTGCCCTGACCGTCACATTAAAAAAAATTGTAGTTTTTTCAATTAAAAATTTGTTATCATATAGTCCTTTAATGCGATATAACAATTATTGTAATCTCAAATATCTCGAAAACGGTTTATTTTATCGAAGTTTTAGAGTTTCACTTTTTTAATAGTAGCCGAACTGAGTAATCGAAAAATTGCATCAAATGGTATAAAAACCTAACCTCAAAGTTTGTATGGGACAATAAGCTTAAGCAACCCCTGTTTCTACGACACTGCGTTCACTCGAACAATTGTATTTATGTGTGAATATGTGTTTTGCTAGTAAGTGACTGTTTGCAAAATATCACCTTTCCAAGTCTACCATATGAGAAGTTATATTAAACTGATATTATAAGTAACACTTTATCACCCTGTATCTTTTAAACATACGTAATTAGGAAAAATATTTATTTAGATTTTCGTCTTATTTTGACATGCTTAATCTTCTCCTAAATTTAAGACACTTTTCAGGCATTAGTGATTGGCCGATTTCATTATTCACGGTGATTTCAACCAATCGGGTAGTTGCAATCCCGAAAATATCATAGTCGTCCCTGGTATACAAAATAAAATATGACATCTGTCAAATGATCTAACCTCAATTTTAAGTTTCTCTTTTATGTCTTTCAATGTAAATTATGCAATAGCAGTAGAAAAAGCATATTGTTACACCCCTCGTATAATATTATATTATATTATATTATATTATATTATATTATATTATATTATATTATATTATATTATATTATATTATATTATATTATATTATATTATATTATATTATATTATATTATATTATATTATATTATATTATATTATATTATATTATATTATATTATATTATATTATATTATATTATATTATATTATATTATATTATATTATATTATATTATATTATATTATATTATATTATATTATATTATATTATATTATATTATATTATATTATATTATATTATTTAGTCTATTTTATCATTTTTTTAACAATTCTTGTAACACGAAAGTAGCATTTGATTAGAAGTATAAAATTTAGAATTTTTTAATGGTTGCACTGAAAAAAATAAGCTATTGAAACAACAACAAAAAATATTAATTCAACTCTTTATGCACTTTAAATACAAGCAATGGTTTTTGCACGTTTACTTAACCATCTAAAAATGTCAAATTGTATTGTTTAATTGAACAACAAATATTAGTCAAATGAACAAAATGAGAATATTTGTTCTAATCTGCTAATCTGGTTAATTAAACATTCTTGATATGTCGGAGTAATATTTCGAAAATGGTTGTGCTAATATTTTTAAGATGTTAAGGTAAATTTCTTGAAATGTCCAGGTAACCTTTTTAGCATATTCACTTAATACCAATAAAATGTTAAATTAAAATGTTGAGTTTTTGATTTGAGTGCGTTCCACCTACACTGAAAGAAATTTGTTGCTAAAAGTAAATACAAATTTATACTAAAAATTTTATACTAGTGCTTTACACATTTATACTACTGTTTATTATGAATGTATGGTAAATTTTGTAATACATTTATTGTAAAGAAGATATGTTAGATCTAAATAAAAATAAACTTACCCTTACTATAAAATGTAAACTATAAGTGAATTACAGCAAAAAAATATTGCTAGAAACACCATTTATATTGCTAGGGCAGCAATAGGCTGCTAACCAAACGAATATATTTGTTTTAGCAATGTATGTGGTAGTCTATATATGAAACATAAAATATATTTGCCCTAATTATTTTTTTATTTAACTTTAGTATATATTTCTTTCAGTGTACTTCAAATACCTACCGACAGACAGCTGATTCGACCTCTATTGGGGGTCTTATCAGTCACTGATAATCAGTGTCGGGCAATTTGGTGTATTGGAAGTTCCACTGTGGAACACACCGAAAACAAACGGCTACCTGAGCGTATATACTCCTATCGTAAGCCAACTGAGGCGAGATGTAAGAACATCACGTGATCAGACGAAGCGCCCTTCACGGCAATTTTATGAATGCAAAATTAACAAATTTTAAAGTAACTTTTACAATATGTTAAATGAACAAATTTAATGTTTTGGATTTAAAGAGTAACTAAACGTTAATTTAATAGGTTTTTTAGGTAATCCTAAAAATTTCAGTATTTGATTCAACCAATTCCAGCTATTAAATCAAAATAGGATAAATATTTTAATCCAAAAAATTAGTTTATGTTAAATCAATATTTTAACTGTCAAATGAACAAATAAACTTTGACAAACTCTGACTATTGCTTTGAAACCAAAATATAAATTAATCCAATAGGTTTTTTGATGAAACAACATTTTCAAAAATGACATTTAGGCAAACGTTAATTCAACTACATTATTTTTTTCGGTGTGGGCACATTTAACGAAAAATATTTCGTATATACATAATATTATGCATGGCACATTTGTTAAATTAAATGCTTAAAATTACTTTCATAATTTTATAAGCAATAGTACAGTCTATCTCCACTTTGTCAAATTTTTCAGGACACATAATTTTCTAATACAACGATAACATTTTATTTTTTTTAGGGATTATGTTTATTTTGACATGTCACACTTTGTCATACAGTAATAGTATATTATTATACGAGAGATATGCCTGCATTACTAACGCGCGTAATCTCGAGTGTAATACTATGCTTTATCTACTCCAATAAGTAAATAATTAAATTAATAAATAAAATTTGACATCTGTCAAATGGTTAACCTTACTTTTTAAATATTTTAAATATTATTATAGTCGCCTTCTCCCACTTTAAAACCCTATTGGTTTAAATCACAGTGAATATTGAAACTGGTCAATCACTGATGCCTAACAACGTGAATAATGAGTTTATTATTCCCGTTGTTAGAAAGGTAATAGATAGATAGATAGATAAAAATATGTTTAGTATGACAAAATTTATTTGGTCTTGAATGTGGTTTGTCGTTACTTGATTGCATTCGCAATTTTATATAACTTTATATACTTTCTCTAACAAAAACTAAATATTTTTTCAGCTTGATTTTGATGACGAAGAAGGCATTTGCTTAGGGAATTATCGTGATGAAGATTCAAGTAGTGGAGATGAAGGTCCCCAATTAAATGGCAATTTGGGACGTACCTTCTCAATGGAAGTGGATAATCATTATTAAAAAGATGTCTTTAATAATAAAAACATGCAAGTTAGACAATATAATAATAATAATAACAATATATTGTGTGATATTTGGTTATATTATTTATAGAAAATTTACAAAATGTGATTTTTTGAAGGTGGTGTTTTATAAAAAAAACAATATAATATTCAATACAAACATCCAGTCAATTTTTAAAGACATCTCCCACAATAATGATAATCTCGTTGTTAAATGTAGGTTAGTTGTTGTAAACAATTAATGTAATCCCAAAATTATGTATATATTGTAAATAAGTACGTATTTATATTTAACTTAGTAGTATTAAAAAAATACTATAAATTTATTGTACGTTTATTTTTTGTTTATAGTATAGTGCCAAAATGTTGTAAATTTAGTTTGCAAATATGGGATTAAAATACTGACATCAATTAGATTGATGTAAATTATTAAATTTATATTAAATATATAAGCTTGACGAGTCAAATTTAAAATGTATACAAAAAAATTCAAAGATTACAGATTGCTTTTTGAGTATACAAATGTCCACAACATAAAAGAATCTATTTTTATTTTACAAAAATTTTAATTTAAATATGCTTACCTGTTTATATGTATAAGTACCTAGTCATATATTATTTTTAAATACATATTTAGGTGTTACAACTTACTTTGGCTCAATACTATAGCTTTTATGGAAATGGTAAACCATGATACTGAAGCTTGTTGATATTAGTTATAGTGCAGCCTTAACCTAGGGTTGTTTATAGGCCAATTATAATTATTAATATGAACGAGAAAAACAATAATTAATTATAAAAACATTTCATAAGCGTAGTCTCCATCTCTCGTTTGATTATAATTATCTACCTATTTGTTTTTTTTTGTATTTCAAACAAATTATTTTTTTGGTATCGACTTTTATAAATTTATATTCGAATCAGACATTTAGCTCCCATTTTTATAAGATTGTGTGCCTATTATGTGTACCTATATAAAATACTAAACAAAAATTGTTTTATTACAATAATTTACAGATTACTTAAATATTTTAATACATTTATTAGTATTTTAAGTCCTAAATCAATTTATATCAACAAACATAAGTTTCTTAATAATACAGTGTTCAATATTAACAAAAAACAATAAAATCACAAAATCAAACAAAATTTTTAGGTTTGGTTGATATTTTTAAAAATGTTTTTAGTAATGAATGACTAAATAAAAGTTATATAATATAGTATTTTGATCTTGTATTAAACCTAAATGAAATAAATATTCACAATAATATTGACTGCCAAAAATATTAAAGTATAAACATATAAAAAAAACTTTTTTAGATACTTTTTTTTGAAAAATACTCCTTTGTTTATAAACTTTCATTATTAAATGTACCTACAAACTGCACTGTACTTAAGAAACTTAATTTTCCTAAAAAATATATAAATAAGTAAATGTTATACTTAATAAAAGGCACGATTTATTTTTCAGCACATTTAATATTAAGGAATTATTTCACCAAATAAAAGAGATTTTATAATTTTTTATGTTATAGTAATGTGTAATACAGGGACCTCTTATTTGAAAAAAAATATATAAATAAAATTTGGTATTTCGGACAAAAGGTCCCTTCTTTTCAGCATTACGTAACAAATTATAAAATTGAATTTAAATTTATGCTTGATTTATAAAAAAATATGTACAATACTATTTGCCCAGAAAATTAAAACAAATATTTTCTAAAAAAAGGAAAGATTATTTATAAATTAAAATATAAGTTAGTTTTTATTAATAGTGATATTAATGTACAGGAAAAAGTTCATTTTGGAAAAATTAATCAGAAAAAATGTATTATTTTATTTTGATGATATTTTTCCAAATACGCTTAAAATGCAAAATGGCTTAGCAAAAGGGGAAATATAGAGTATATTTAAAATAATGTTCAGTAGATTATTTTTAAATATTTACTTAGTTGTTCCTGTTAAATATTGTGATTTTTATTATTTATTATAAATTAGGTTGTAATATCAAGAATAAACGAAGTAAGACTGTGTCGGGATTAGGAATTTTCTAAAATTCTTAAGTATCAGGTAAAAGGAAATCGTGTATTTAGAAATAATAAAACGTAAAAAAATTAGGTTGTTTTATTTAAATAAACTTAGCAGCTAAGGAATACTTCAAAAACCCTTTATACTACTGCACACTGTTTAAAATATCTGTGGTGTAAAGAGTAATCTTAAAATGGTGTCAAAATCCAACACCAAGTGGTGTTAATATATTAATTAATATGGTTGAAAATGTTATATACAGCAAACACCAATACGGTGTTTATCTAAAAATATTTGAGAAGTGCACCTACACAGAAAAAAGGAATAGTTCATTTAACTATATTAATTTAGTTGACCCATAAGTATATCAACTGTGGGAAGGTTAATATAAATAAATATTAGTCTGACGGTACTAAACCAGATAGTTATTTTATTTTTTTTCTAATTGGTTAAATTAACTCAGAAAACTTTAGTGAAACCAACCCGCTGTATAGTTCACTTTACTAAATATGTTGTTTGTAAAATAAGAGTTACTTCAACCTAAAGCACTCTGTTAAAACGATTAAAACAATTTGCCGTGCATTCCCGGTTGCATAGTGTGTACCGATCGCGGCAAAGGCGGTGTGGATCACTTGATGTTCTTAAATCTCGCCTCTGTTCACTTACATGAAGAGTGTATAAGCTCAGGTAGTCCTTTGCTTTGGTGTGACACTACAAGTTGTTCGATACTAAAGAGACCTTAAATAGGTGGAAACAGATGTCCATACTTTTTTTAAGTATTTTAAGTTAGTGGAACGCACTAAAAACATTATCTCTAGCGAGTTGAAGGTTCCATTTTCTGGAATAATACCACTGGTAATATAGTAGTAATGCGTCAAGGAACTTCCTGTTTCCTTTTTTTTTCCTTTTTTCTGTGTAGTATGATTTAATTTGACCACAAACACATAATATTTAACACTGAAAAGGAGTTCAATTTACACCAGGTAAAATTTATTTTAATACTGTGTGAAAGTTAAATTAACACTATTTTAGGATTTGAATTTACACCGGACCAACGAACCATATTTAACACCATTTTGGTTTGTGTCGATATAGACCATGTATGGTGTTAATTTGGTGTTAAAATGGTCATGAAATTTTAAACAGTGCAGGGTCATGAGTAGTACATCTATCACGTACCTTAACATTTTGTAAAGAAATACAATTTAATTAGTGTTTTTTAAAAGTAAAAATAGTAATATTAGCACTACACTAATAATTAAATAGTTCCTTATCAGTATATTTTTAGGTTACTTAGGCAGGTAATAATATTTAAATAGCCTTTATTTTTTAATGGTTATTAACTAAACAATGTCCTTGTTTCGTTTTTTTATTTCAGAAATAATATTTTATATTAAAAAAATAACTTACATAATACAAATTTTACTATATTTATCAGATTAAGATAATTATTTATTATTACAATAGTGCTCAAACTAGTATAATTTTTCTGAAAATAGATAACATTTATTTTATTTATTTTCACAGGCTTTATATGGGGTGCGGCAGAATATATAAATATAAAAAAAAATCAGTGAATAAAAATATTTTTTTATGAAAACTATTTATTAAAACATGTAAAATTTTACAAGAAAAATAACATCTAGCCACAAGTCAAACATTCACTCTTTTTTGAGAGTGTAGCATTGCATTGCGTAATGTTTTAGCTGTGATTAGGGCAATTTCTTTAATAATATTTCAAGATCACCTTGATAAGATGACGGATACTATAATAATAATTTTTAAGTGCGTTAAAGCTTGTTTTTAGTTTTTTTAAACTTTGATTTATTTATTTTATCTATTAGATATAATATTATATTTTTAAGAAAATTGAATATCTGATAATTATATTAATTTAATTAATAATTATGTATTATTTTACAAATATTAAGGTGTTGTGTTAAAAATAAAAATTATATTATTTAAATACATACTAGGTAAAATTTTCAGGGGCGCATGTAGAGAAATATTTGGGGGGGGGGCAAAATATATATTTTTTTAAATTACTACACCATTTATTTTTTGTTTTTCTTTGGAATTGAAAAACAAAGTTTCTTACAAATTTTCAAAGATTTTATATTTAATACAATTTTGTCCCCCATACACCCCCTCCTCTGCATCCACCCCTACAATTTTTATAAATAAGTGAACAAAATACAGACTGCAAGTTACATCTTTAAAAATGCTATTTAACAAATTAAATTTTTAAGTGAAACGAATATTTATTTTTGCTTGTCTTTTTATTAAAACGTAGATAATTTTGTAAACTTTAAGTTTTTTTTGGATATAATTAATTATTAAACATGACCTATCAGCCATTCCAGAGAATTTGAAACTAAGGCGCACAATTTAAAATTGTTTATATGCAATACCTTTAATGTGAAATATTGTGCACGTAGTCTAAATTTTACATATCTAATATAAAAATAATATATTTTCCATTATAAGGCCCTTAAAACAATATTTTACTTAATGCGAACGCATCCTAAAAAAATGAATCAAAAGATAAGTTATTTAGCAGGCTATTGTTCAGTGATTATATCATTTATTATACAACTGTCATTATTTTAATTCATTAAAATATTAATTATCAGAGTGTTTGGTGACGATTTTGTAAATCAAAATGGGTAAGTAGTATTTTTTTATTAACTTTATTTATTTTATGTTGTTAGTGTAGCGTCCGTCATCAAAAAGATGTAATACTTATTATTTCTTAATGAAGATAAATAATTTTTGACTAAATTATTTATTTTTAAAAACACACATGTTGCCTCTTGTCAGTATATTAAGCTTTTTTAGATATGTCAAGAATCTATTTTTTTTTTAATTAAACTTTTATGTAGCGTCCGTAAGCAAAAAATATTTAAGTAATATTTTTTTAGATTTTTCATTTATCTTGTTTTACGGTTAAATTAGACTAAATTAAAAATACACAAATGCTCATTCTAACCTTGTTTAAAGATTTTTCGAGAGATTTTTATACCGGTGGAATATTTTTTACAGATCAAAAGGAGAAGCGCATTAAACAAAACAGAATTGCCGCGCAACGTTATCGAGAAAAAATTAAAAGTGACGAAATTACAAGAATTGCACTTTTAAAAAAAGATGCCGAAAGAGTAAAGAAAAAAGAAAAGTTGCAGTTTGATAGTCATTTACGAAAAATTGAGAAATTAAAAGTTACTGAAAGAATGAGGCGTTACAGATCAAAGATTTAACAAATGAGACAAAATATTGAGCAGTCTTATAGTCCTTACAGATGTCCTCAAACGTTGGGTAAAGCTTTAAAAAAAGTTAAAAATACGTACAAGAAAAATTGTAGTGCAGAAGTTAGTTTTACAAACTATCCCCGAAAAGTTGTGTGACGAGAAGCCCACAATAATTCATGGACTTACTACATCTACTGAAGATGTTAGACTTGTCAATATTTTTTACCTACGTGATGATGTTAGCAGACAGGCCCCAAGAAAGAGAGACACAAAAAGTGTCAAAAATCCAATTACTGGTAAGAAAGAATCGTTACAAAAAAGACATCTTATAATGACGATTAAGGAGGCATTAAACTATTTAAGCAAGAATTCCCAGATACAAATATTCAGATTACTAAATTTTACCAGTTGCGCCCCAAGCACGTTCTGTTATCATCACAAATGCCGTATAACGTGTGTGTATGTCGCTATCACGCGATTTTTAATTTTTTAATTGAGGCAATACAAAATAATATTTTGAAGTTTCCGAAAAGCAGTACTGATTTCCTGAAACAAATGTGTTGCAATATAGATGAAGAACAGTGTATGACAAAAACTGCGATTATGACATTTCACATGCTTTGATTTCAGTTAAATATATGTTTGATTTTGATAATAATAATAATAATAATAATAATGTTTATTAACGCTAAATAGCAGTTATACATTGGTTTACAATAAATAAATCAAATTAATTCTAGTAACAAAAACAATATAATGTAATATGTTATATCAGGTACAAAAATCCAATAGTAATAAAGCCTCGTCTGTCTCACCACACATGCCAGCAATCAAAGACCATCGAGGGAATTAAGCTGGGTTTTAAAGGATGCCAAAGAGCAATTAAAAAAGTTTACTGAGGAGAGACTGTTGCATATTCTGGAAACCCGACTCAATGGAGAATTACTGGCATATACTGTGCGACAGTTGTACTTGTTAAGTACAAGCAGTGGAAAGATAATGAGGTCCAATTTACAGAAGCTACGCTTTTTTCAGTGATCAAAACGCTAGAGAGACAATTTAAAGTGTTGAAAACACACTGTTTCGTTAAAAGGGTGCAAAAACGGTATTTTGATGAACAAAAGGTTCATCTTGTCGAAGATAAAGTTCTTGTAGTGCAAATTGACTTTGCTGAGAACTACTCGATAGTGTCTCAAAATGAAATTCAATCGGCACACTGGTCTCACAAACAAGTAACAATATTTACTTGTGTTATCTGGACACCACAGCAGACCTTTTCTATTGCCATTATAAGCGACTACATGGGACATGACAAGTACGCAGTTTATGTATTTCTTCAAGAAATTTTTAAGAAAATTCATTTGAACTATCCCCATCTATTACAACATTTATGCAAAACAGTGATCTTTTCAGACGGCTGCGCTGCCCAATTTAAAAATAAATATACTCTTTCAAATTTGTGTTACTATGATGTACTTAGAGTTCAACCTGCCTAGTGTTGAATGGAACTTTTTTGCCAGTAGTCACGGAAAGGGTGTTGTAGATGCACTGGGAGGCGTGGTAAAAAGGACGGTTTAGCGATGTAAGAAGTAAAAATATTGAGCTGTCAAATGCCCATGACTTCTTTGAATGTGCCAAAGGGCAATTATCTTCTATCAACTTAATATATGTTTGTGCTGAGGATGTTGAAAATATAAAAGAGATGCTGGATAAAAGATGGGCTAATGTTAAGAAGATTCCTTTTATCCAATCAAAACACTTTTTTATGAAATTAAGCTCCAATTCGTTGCAAACCGTTCAAACAAGAAATTCCAGTATCGTGTGTTGTATTTAAGTAGTGGCATATTTTACTGTTAAATGTAGAGTTTATTTGTTTAGTGAAGTTTTTGGTTGTTTATTTGAATTAAATTGAAAAATAAAAGATTAGCATTTTGGTGGAACTTTTGTAGCGTCCGTCATGTAGCGTCCATCATCACATATTTAATGTACTTATATATTATCTATTAAACTAAATACAAAATAAAAATAAAAAAATATTTATCTAGTCCAATGCTTTATATATTATAATAAAGTTTAAATTTAATCCCTTATCAATTTGCTAATATTCAGGTGAAACATAAAATAAATTTATTCCACTTCCATTTTTTGTAGCGTCCGTCATCTAAGTTTAAGAAGTAAAATCTTGGAATCCCTAAATGTCAGATAATTATTTTATATGTTATTTTTTTTAACCTCATTTCCACTTTCAATTTTTAATATTAGCTTTAAAATCAGTTTTAGTTTTTGGGCATTTTTTCTTAAATATTTGACAAGATTTTGGTCAAATGGTAGCGTCCGTCATCATGAAATGGCTGCTATGCATTTGCTCATTACAGTAGCTATAATAACATTTTTTTTTTAATTAAACATCTTAAACGCTCTTTATCGTACATGTTTCCATGACACTAATTGACCTTTTAAATACACATTGGCAAGTTGTGGCTTTATGGCGCTTTAGTCACGGGCTAAAGCGAGCAACAGACATTTTTTATATTTAAATTTGGCATCTCCATCGGTATCAGCACGCCCCCTTTTTCTCTGTGACGCAAGTTCTGGGACACCCTGTATACTGTATAAAAGAATATTTACAAAATTTAGTAAAACAATAGTAAAACTGGGGCACCCTGTGTCAGGGCCAGTTGCGAGTTGCCAGTGGTCACGCTCGACGCGGAAATTGTGTGCTTACCTCCAAGTCCTTCAGTCTGTCATAAGCTTTAATGACAAAAATACCTATATATTTACTTAGTAAAAGAAATAATTTGTTGGTTATGTAATATGTGTACTATGGATATCCATTTGTGTATTTTTGAAGAAACCCCGTGGGTTAATTTAGGAATATTTTAAAGGTAGTAACTAAAATGTAAATATTTTTTTATCTTAAAACCATTTAAAATATATGGGATGTTTCATTAAAAAAAAGACAAATAACACGGAGAGAAAAGTATAATGCTGATTACCGTAATTATAATACCCTTTACTATAATTTATATTACTATTTGGGACAACTATCTTGTATATTGCCTAATACTAATAAAATGGAAAAATTAATACAATATAGATAATAATATAGACTAAGCAGTACCAATTCTTAAGAACTGATTTGCTAGCTATAACATATTGTAAAAAAAAGTTAATAAAGAAATAAATAAATAAATGTTAAACCTTAAGGTAAAATATTATTATTCTCAACCAATTTTGTTTTTAATTCTTATTATAATTAGATGTTTTCCATTACTAATAAGTATAGTAAATTTTAAAATATTTAAAATATTATGTTACCATTATAAAATATTTTAAAATCGAATATTTTTATAGGTTAACAATTAAAAATTGTAACATATTTATTGTACTTTTTAATATACAAAAATGTTATGAGAAAGAATTGAACCTACACCTCGCCAAAGTTTTTTGTTTTGATTGCGTTCCATCAACTTCAAATACCGACAGACAGGTGTTTTGACCTATATTGGGTATCATCAGTGTCGACACGACAATGTCGAGCAACTTGTAGTAGTGGAACACACCCAAAACAAAGAAATACCTGAGCTTATATAACATGGTTGGTAAGCCAACATAGGCGAGATGTAAGAACATCACGTGATCCACACCGTATAACGACGCGTCGCGACGTGGCCTTTGTTGCAATCGGTACATACTATGCAACCAAGTTGGTTCAATTCTTTCTTATAAGTATTACCAGTAATGGGTCAAGAAAGTTTATTAAAGAAACTAAGAAAATTGAATGTTTAAAATGTCATGACTTACTATATTGTATATTATATTTAAATATATTGTTTATTTACCTTAAACATAAAAGTATCTTTATTTTTACTATATTTTTTATTAATGTGTAATATATTATAATATTAGATGTACACCTTACATTTGATTAAATCATATAGTAAATATTACTATTTGTAGATAGTAAAATCAATTTACTATACGAACATATTAAAAATTAAAATATAGGTATATTATACATTTATGATTTAGTAATATTGGTGTTGTAATCTTTACTAAAATTGTATAATAAAAAATACTATTTTGTATTACAATCTTAATATTGTATTGACGAATATATAATATTGTTACCCTAAAAGTTTGTTAAAGTAAATTTTACTATATTTTTTTTACTATCTAAAATTTACTATACATTTCTCTCTGTGAACTTATGGCCATGGCCACTTTATAGCAAAATAGTAGTAAATATTTTTGCTAAACTTTATAATATTATTTAATTTTTGGCTTGAATAATTATTTAAGATAAAAATAGCCTATGAGTGGAATTTTTGGAATCTTAAAACATTGTTTAAAAGATTTCTTGTCAATTTTCAACATTTTCAACAAACTACCTGCGAAAACCCAGGGCAAATTTGGCTAACTTGAAAGGTAAATAAATAAACTGTTTTATGTACTTTTATAACTTTTGACATTTTCGGATTCAGCGGAAAATTTCACATAGAAGTTGACTGCTAAATGTCCGGGATACAATTTGCTATTGACGATAATTACACTGTAGGAAAATTTTCAACTCTTAAAATATCACAGCTAAACGCTCGGACACGTAAACATAATTTTTGATAGTAGATTCCAAATCCGTGCTCTCTGACTACTGTTAAACTTTACTACCGTCAACTGCAATTATCAAACAAACACTAAAAATATTTTTCCATTTATTTTGATACTTATATCAACAAAAAAAATTAACTCGCTAATATCAACGCGGCAAAAGGCGCTTTATAGCGGCCGAAAAAAACCGTCGGTTTCAATGTTAAAATACAATAGTGGTTTGTTCTGCATTTTGTTGTAAAAGTTATATAAGCTATAGTGACATGAAAAAAACTTATTAAAAACATAGGTTTTTACCTGTCAAAGGTTATTTACAAAAATAACCATTGCTGTTGTCAAATTAACCCGTGAGGTTTTTTTGGAAATTTTATGATTTTAAATAGTTCATTGACCTTGACGTTGACGTTGAAATTGTATACATTGGGTGTTCTGCACATCAATGATATCGTTATCGATAAGCGTAGAATAGAAAAAATCAGAATTTGGCCATATTTTTCCATATTACAACGTTGTATCAGCATAGCATTCAATTATCTACTGATTGCATTGACAGAAATATTGTGTACATTAGGGTCGGGCTAAAACTGAGAGAATGAGATATACTATTTCAATTTACGCAGTACCCACCTATATTCTTAATATTGTCAAAAGGTTTAGTTGATATTGATAAGTATTTGGTGATAGTGATGTTAGTAATAGTTTTAAAAAATATTTTAATAAAAAAATTTTAAAGGTAATATACACAAATATGTTATGTTAAACCTGCATTGATAATATTAATTTAATTTAATTTTATTATTCCTAATTTTATTATTCCTAATCTTTATACAAATTAAAGTGGCAAAAAAAATATATTTAAATATACATATTGTACTGATGCATAATGATGGTGCAATATGTAAATTTTTAATTCTTGTTATAATGTTTTAAAGATGTACAGTGAGTCTTGTAAAATACCTACATAAAAAAATTGAATTCAATTGATAAAAGAATAATTTTTAACATAATTTCAATTTTGAAAAATCAAGTATGCCTTTTTTGTCTGAATTTCATATATTTAAAATAATATAAAGAAAAGTTGTTTAGAATCATATCTAAGGTCCATTTTCCAAATTTCAAATTTCTTGGCCACTTTGATTCTGTAAAAATCTAGTTAGTAAAAAAAATAAAAATCAAAGTTGGCCAACATATTTGAAATTTGGTTTATAGACCTAAAATAAGATTCTAAACAACTTTTCTTTAAAATATTTTGTTGTATATCCTATAAAAGGCACTTTACTCACACAAAATATACATAGAACAAAAAATAAAAATCAAAGTTGTCCATTTTATCGTATATCCCATATGAAAGGCACTTTACCTACACAAAAAATAGGTTTTTTTTTTAATATTTCCAATGCATACCTACTTGATTTTTCAAAATTGAAATTATGTTAAAAATTAATCAAGCCGGGCTAAACCCTCGAAAATTAAAATTAAATTCAATTTTTTTTGGATTTTAAACAGTCGTTTCACCTACACTCACAGGCAAAATAATCGATCAACACAAATTTTCGATGAATTTCAATCGCAAATAACTTTTTTATTTGATGTCGGATTTAAACGAATATTAAAGAATATTGTAGATAAATTAATGGACAATCTCACATTTTAAAAAATTACTAAAAAATAGACGTACGTTTATAATATACAGGTTTAAACAAAAAGATGTTTTTTACCATAAGTTTAAGACACTCTGTAGAGTGGCAAAACCGTATATTGTTCTAAATTAAGTTTTAATTATCAAGTCAGATCTATTTTTAACAGTTTTGTTTTTGGTTCACCTCGATATATATATTTTTGTGGAAAATATGGATTTTTTAAAAAAACATTGCAATTTCCAATATTTTTCTGTATGAAGAACTAAGGTTGCTATGGTCCATCCATATGCTATGGAGATCCATTAATTTAATCCAGGATGAACGGTCACAGTATTACGTGACAAGTGTTTTAAACGTCACAAGAAGTAAAGTACAAAGGGCAACATCAGTCGGAGACATTTTTAAAAGTAAGAAGACACCTCAAAATTACACAAATTACACATTAATTTACAAAAAACAATGTGATAGCTTTTAAAGGCTGTATATAACATGTCCAAGTATAGGATGATTCAACAAAACTGTCACTGTCATCCTCCGTAGGCTATGGATGGACCATAGCAACCTTAGTTTTTCATACAGGAAAAATATTGGAAATTGCAATGTTTTTTAAAAAAAATCCATATTTTCCACAAAAATAAATATATCAAGGTGAACCAAAAACAAAACTGTTAAAAATAGATGTGACTTGATAATTAAAACTTAATTTAGAACAATATACGGTTTTGCCACTCTACAGAGTGTCTTAAACTTATGGTAAAAAACATATTTTTGTTTAAACCTGTATATTATAAACGTACGTGTATTTTTTAGTAATTTTTAAAATGTGAGCGATTCTCCATTAATGTATCTACAATATTCTTTAATATTTGTTTAAATCCGAAATTAAATAAAAAAGTTATTTGCGATTGAAATTTATCGAAAATTTGTGTGGATCGATTATTTTGCCTTTGAGTGTATATATAAAAAAATATTTTATCTTTATGGCTTTTTAGTCACGGGCTGAAGTAAACTTAGTGACTTTTGGGCATTTTAGTCACGGGCTTTAGCTTTATTGTAAATTAGGAAAAAGTGAGGTGAAATCCGTTTAAAGTTGACATATGTCAAATGTTCAACGAATAAAATTGGCTTTTAAATTCCTCTTTGCGTTCGTCGTAGATAAATTATAGTATGCTTGTTTTATAATCTTCTCTAGACACTGGTATTTATTAATCACTCGCTCGCAAGCTTCTCTCGTGCTTAATGAAACTCGTAACTAAAATGGCGTTTAGAAAACTTGATACATAATATACTATAATATTTGCAATTATAACATTTTATTATTTATTAATGATTTCGTCAAATTATTAAATAATTTACATGATCTTATTACTCGTGTATTTAAAACAACTTATAATTTTATAACTTTGAAAATATTTGTTATAATGTAACTAAAATAAATATTTCAAGAGGAAAATGGGAGATAAGATAACACATTTGTACAATATGGGTTTAGTTTATGACTAATTATGGGCGCAACACACAGTTTTAACTTATTATTGAGATACATTATATACCTAAGATATAATTAGTAGAATATTTCACTAATGAATTTTTGTTTCAAAAAGTACAGTGACTATTTCCCTCGTCTTAATTTCCACCAATCACAAACGCGCAATTTTGAAATACAAATGGTTTCTAGGTGGAAAAACTGTATGACAGCACCTGTCAGCAGTTTTTTCGAGTTTACCCGCGGCAAAACTTGACAGCTGTTGTCACCAAAATTGCAATTTATATTTTAATTGTACCATACATAATTTAGTTTGTAGTATTTTGTGATTAAATAAATTACCTATTTTTCAGTTTTCAAATTAATACCTACGAAGTTCAGAAAATATCGGGAATTTTCGTTTTTTGAAACAAATATTTATTTATTCGTCTACATTAATGTTGTTGCCTTCAAAATAGTCCCCATTGGATATTATGCACATGTGCCAGCTCTTCTTCCAATACTCGAAACACTTCTAAAACTCGATCTTTGGGATACCCTTTAGTTCTTTCAGCGATGCGCTTTTAATGTCATCTATGCTTGCAAAACGACGGCCCTTTAAGGTTCTCTTTATTTTTGGGAATAGAAAAAAGCCAGAGTCTGACTGTCAGGCAGAGGCATGTCTGGCGAATATGGAGGCTGGGGCATCATTACAGTATTGTTTTTGGCCAAAAATTTTGTTCAAAATTTAACAATTTTGGAAAAAATTTTGCTGTCACGCGTTTCATACCCAAAACATTCGAAAAAATTTCATGGGATGAGCCAATCGATATACCAACATCATCAGGGACTTCTCTGATGGTTTATAACCATTTCTTCCACTTTTTCCATGGTTTTATCGATTGTTAATGTGCTTGTGCGTTCGGGGCGTTTGTCATCTTCAACGTCTTCACGGCCATCTTGGAAACTCTTATACCACTTGTAAACTCTTGTTTTACTTATAGCAGATTCACTATAGGCCTTTCTTAACATTTCACAGAATTTATTTAATTTTTTAAGCAAAATTGGATACAAATTCTTTGATCCATTTCTTTTAACGAACGAATTTCGCCGAGCTCATAAAACACGTCTAACCTTAGCGGCTGCCAAAGACAAAGTAAGCAATGAAAACAGCTAAAGTTTTTATCATACTTCGGGGGCATGTATACCAACATTATAAAGAAAATTTTATGACAACCGGACCCTCTGAACGCGCGAAATTTAACAATTCCCGTTATTTTCTGAACACACCTCGTATCATGTCAGAACTGGCTTATACGTATGCTATTTTAAATTATTTCAGATTGGTGCTATACCTTTTTAATCAAGATATATAAATTTTATAGTTATGCCTATTTATTTCGTTTAAAGTATTCTGAAGGCCTGATATGCGTTAGTACTCACGTATAAGGTTTTTGGAATTTTGCTCAAAATCAGCTAATATGGATAAGCCTAGTTTTGGAATGCACCTCCTCAGGTAGTATCCCACACAGAACACGCTATCCAATGGATATCCAATGGCTATCCCAATGTCCATATAACATCCATGCCTTTTACGATATCCATTGGATATCCAATGGATATCCATACTGGATGTTCAAAAAAAAACAAAAACATTAAAAATATTTTTTTCTTTTTTAAAATAGCCCCTTATAGGATAAATTTATGTAATGATTAATAAATATGATTTAAATCGTTATTAACCCAATTTCAACAAAGTATCTCTAATATATATCCAATGGATAACTAATGTATGTCCAAAGTATATCCACTGTACATCTAATGTATATCCACTGGATATCCACTGGATATCCGATGGATATCCATACTGGATGTTCAAATAAAAACAAAAACATTAAAAATATTTTTTTCTTTTTTAAAATAGCCCCTTATAGGATAAATTTATGTAATGATTAATAAATATGATTTAAATCGTTATTAACCCAATTTCAACAAAGTATCTCTAATATATATCCAATGGATAACTAATGTATGTCCAAAGTATATCCACTGTACATCTAATGTATATCCACTGGATATCCACTGGATATCCAATGGATATCCATACTGGATGTTCAAAAAAAAAACAAAAACATTAAAAATATTTTTTTCTTTTTTAAAATAGCCCCTTATAGGATAAATTTATGTAATGATTAATAAATATGATTTAAATCGTTATTAACCCAATTTCAACAAAGTATCTCTAATATATATCCAATGGATAACTAATGTATGTCCAAAGTATATCCACTGTACATCTAATGTATATCCACTGGATATCCACTGGATATCCGATGGATATCCATACTGGATGTTCAAATAAAAACAAAAACATTAAAAATATTTTTTTCTTTTTTAAAATAGCCCCTTATAGGATAAATTTATGTAATGATTAATAAATATGATTTAAATCGTTATTAACCCAATTTCAACAAAGTATCTCTAATATATATCCAATGGATAACTAATGTATGTCCAAAGTATATCCACTGTACATCTAATGTATATCCACTGGATATCCACTGGATATCCGGTGGATAACTGATATGGATATCTTGTATATATACTTGTATGTATACATGTGGGATTTTGTGATGGTTTAAACTAGCATATGTAAAAAAACGACTTTACGTTAAATTGATTTTTTGCCAAGAGCTACGAAATTTTTAATTTTGAAATGTTCACTTTACCCAGATAATAATATTTATATATTAATAATATTATTTCTGTTAATAATATGACTATGACAGTCTGCAATACAATAAAAAATTACTTAAAAAAGTCCTTTTTGTTTATTATTGTATTTCATATATGTACTACGCACGCGCTGAATTTGAGAATCTTCAGTGTTGTCGGTTATAAGCAAAATAACTAAACGAAATATATTTCCGTACTTTATTAAGTTTTAATAAATAAATTAAATAAATTTAAAATAATTATTCACCACATTTATGTCAAATAGGTATACTAGGTATACTAATTAATTAAGTATTAAAGATTTAATAATATAACCGCCATTTTGATGAGCTTTCTGAAATTATTTAAACGTCTGACAACACTGCCGGCGAACACAGAAGATAAATGTCACCATATTACCTTGCCGCTGCATCTCGCCGCTGTCCAGGTCGCCCAACTAGTATATAGGTGGGCGGTTGCTTGGCTTGAAGCGTGTCTCTCGGCACCAACTGCCTGACACTGATGAGACCCAACAGGTCGAAACAGTCTGTCTGTCAGTGTTGGTGGGGATGGTACATTAGTCATTGTGCCATGTTAAACAAATGGGCTGATGGATTGGCCAAATTTTGGGGATCATAAGGAGACAGGTGAAATAGGCCCTAAATGATTAGGCTGATAAAAAGGCAAATGACAGCTGGAGGAGTGATGGCAAGCACTTCTTTAGTTATATGTAGTTTTCTGTTCTATTTTATGTTTTCATAAAAATAAATATTTAAATTAAAGAATAAGACTTTTATTTTGAAACCCAATGTTATTTATTGAAAAGTAAATATCCATTGATTCACCATATCCAATACAGATGACAACCATATTGCATACAATACTATATCCACTGGGTATCCATTGGATATCCACACTATGTCCAGGAGGGTCGGACATTTATATATCCAATGGTTATCCATTGGATATCCATACAATCTCCATATTGAATACAGATTTCAACCTTATTGCATACAATACTATATCCACTGGGTATCCATTGGATATCCACACTATGTCCAGGAGGGTCGGACATTTATATATCCAATGGTTATCCATTGGATATCCCGGATATCCTATGTATATCCTGGATATCCATAAAAGAAATCCATTGGATATCCATTGGATGTAATTGTTCCGTGTGGGATGTTTTGTAAGCTATGTGTTTGCAGAATAACTGTTACTCATGAAATAGTCTTCTCAAATACCATTCGGGCATCTAATTTTTCCTGTGAAAAAACACAATGCTAAGTAATATTTTTTAACAAAATGCATTCGTCCAGGTGCAAAAATCCTCGTCTTCGACTCGGATTTTTGTTGCAACCAGCACTTATGCTTCTTGTTAAATTATTACTTAGCAACGTGTTTTTTTTGGAAAAATTAGATGCCCTTATGATATTACTTACGAAAAATTATTGCAGAGTCATTACAGAAGAAAAATCGAACAAAATTGATTTCTTTCATTACAGCGCCATCTATTACAAATATAAAAAAATGTTTTAAACAAAATCCACCTATTAATCGAATGATCCGAATCGGCAATAAAAAAAAGGTTAAAATTAACCAAAAACAACCAAATGTTACCTTCTTTTTAACCAAAAGGTACATTAATCAAGAAGTTAAATTTAACTAAAATAATTTTAATTTTATCATAATTGATTTCCCCACTTATTACAAAATAACGGTAATTTAAGGTTAATTTAACGTTGTAGTACAATATTACTTAAATGAATTAACCAGACATAACGTAAATTTAACTTTAATTTAACCAGTTGTGCTACTTTGGAATCGTCTTAAATTGGTGAAAAAAACATATGTTAATAAATATTATCCTCCATAGAGGGTTTGTTTGAAAAAAATTGACAATTGCGTGACCACAAATACTTGTTGGGTCGAAAGCAATCCACTCAAAATAATTGGTTATGGCGTGGTCGATATAACGAAATGATTTGTTTGTCCTAATTCAAAGGACAATTTTATTGTTTATGAAGTGTGCATATCGATTGTAGCTGCATGCTTTGTGTATTTATTATTTAAACTGTTATTTAGCACGAACTTTTATGATTTTTTAAATTTATAGTTTTTAAATTTAAACTTTACAAAAAATGCAATGTATTTAACAGACCAAACGAAGCTACAAATATTGTAAATTCACACTTTGATTTTGATCAACTTCAATTTTAAAAATTACCTTTATCCACTGCTGTTTTTGACCATAAGTGACATTTACATTCTTAAGGCAATCTCAATATTTTTCCTTTCTGTCGTCATTTTTTTTTCATCTCATGGTAAAAAATCTTGAACTGAACGAGTTTATTTCTTATTTGATGGTCAAGTCATTGTTTTTTCTTAAGCTGCTGCAATCATCTCTTTATTACAAAGTCTATTGAACTTGTTGAGAAACTCAAAACGACAATTAAGTTTGAATGCCATAATACGCAGGCCACCTCATTCTCCAGATTTAAATACACTCGACTTCCGTTTGACGCGCTGAATACTAATAATAATAGCTCAAATTGTGGTGCAATAATTTAATTAACCTTGGTATTGCCGTAATTGTAGATACATATTAATAATTAACCCTTTTTGAGCCATTTTCTATCATTAGTTATAAATATGGGTAATTCTACAAAAGTTGGGCAACTTTTAACCTTATTTTTATATATAGTTTTCAGAGAAGATTAAACAGTATTTTGTTATGAGAATATAGATAATATAATAAATATACTGTTCCAGACCGCGCCATTCACTTTTTCAGTTTCTGAAATATTTGTGTTTTCTAAATTTGAATGCAAGGGAAGTGACGAGTATACCAGGATACTAATTAAATACATAATTTATTGGAAAATATAAGATTTATTGCAACTTTGAGCATATTATACATTAAATATCTTAAAATCAAATAATACCACACATCAGTGGCGGCTGGTGGATTTTGGGTATACCGATATCTCAATTATTAGATATTGGACCCACACCAAATTTATATGATTTTATATATAAAATCATTATAATGATATTAAATAAACAAGTTCTGCGCAAGCAGAATTTAAATTGAAGTTTGCAAAAAAAAGATTACCGAAACATCGAACATGGAACTGACAACACGGTACTGATGAATGGGATACAAATTTGAGATTATAATTCGGAATTAAGTATTTTACTGATATTTTTATTAGTGGATGCTATAGCTATAGTATACTTATCAACAAATCACATATTATGAAATATATATACGTAAGAAAATAACTACTCACCACAGTACTGAAACTTTGACTATACATGCATTCACCACAACTTCGCCGATTGCATTGTTTTCAAGATGACTGTCGTGCAAAGGGTGGGCTCTGTAGGTAATTTTTTACCAACACGTGAGTTAAAACGAGGACTTGACGTTTAAACTTCAATATTTCGCAGGAATTTTGAATTTTAACATTGCAGTCAGTTCTGTGTCCATGGACACAGAACTGACGGGTAAAAGTGAGTACAAAGATTATCAATTTTTTAAAAATTGCTATTATTCGAATCTATGATAAAATATGAAAAATACATTATTTAATGTTTTATAGTTTGTAGTAAAATTGAAAAATTTAAAATAAATTGAATAGATTTTAAAATAAAATCACTCAAATATTTGATTCAGGAGTTGTGACACGCCAAGGTACTGATGTATTGAATATTTATTATGTTTTTCTGCAAACGTGCTTTTGAAAAAATACATTAAAATTGGGTGGACAAGTTAAAAAAACCTGGATCTTTTGTAATATAATAAAATATTTACAAAAAATATTAAAAAACCTACTCTATTGACTGATTACCTCAAGTTGTCCAACTTTTGTAGAATCACCCATAAATATGATTCGGTATAATCGATTATCCTTATAAATCTAGAACAGTGGATATAAAATAAACATTGTCAAATAGGCATTTTTTACCAACATTTTCTTTAATTAAACAAAAATGTTATTATATTGCGTGTCTGTGATTTCCTACAGCAAGTAATTAATTTTTACTCGTAAAAACAACCCCGATAAATCAATATACTAAAATACACGATCCGGTAGAAAAACGGATGGACTTGTTTTTTTAATTTTTGAAATTAATAGAAATAAATAGAATGGAATAGAATATTACCAGTTTTTTTTTAAATTACCGATACTTTTTATTTTAAGTTTGAATGAAAATTATCTGGTTCGTAAAAATGCACTATAATAATGTTTTGATTAATTAAAACCTACATGTTAAGGTGTCCCCCAAGTGAAAATGATTATTTTTTATTTTTGGTTGTTTCACTGTTAGTCTAGAATGTGGTTTTTGGAAAGCCACCAGGTCTAGTAATAACATAACATAAGTGGTTCTGCACTAATGCAAGAATTTTAAGAAATCATACATTTTGAATATTAGAGCTTCACGGAAGATAGCTTCACGGAGGTTAGGATTTCGTGTGTTTTAAAACATCCCTTTGTATATTTTAAATAAGTTATTGTATTTTTTGTTAAAAATACAATTAAACAGGGTGATTCCCTATAATGTCGCCCCCCCCTTTAACTTTTTAATTTTAATGCTCAGAATTTTACAATCGAAAAATAAATTCAAATATAGGGTGATCCATTAAAAAAAATAAACTTTTTGTTTTTCCCTGTATACTGATCAATTTTCCAATTTTCTTTATACGTAGAAAAAAAGTATTTTTTAGTTCCTACATAACCACACTTTTAAATTTTTTGGGACACTTAAAATAAAAAAGTTAAAGAGGGGCGACATTATAGGGGATCACCCTGTACATACATAAAATATTTATAAAAAAAAACTACTTACTGAGATATTTTATTTTAGGACAATAATTTAATTTATTACATGATACCATAAATATATACCTACATACTAATAAAAAATAAAAATGAAAAGAACAAATAAAAACAATGAAGACTTTAAAGTAAAATACAGAAATGATACGTACAATATATTTTCGTTTTTAAACAATCATCCTGGAGGAGTAAACTATGTAAGACCTTACGAAAATAAGGATATTGACCAGAGGATGAAAAACACAAATCACTCAGATGCTGCCTATTATTTATTAAAAGAGTATGTGCAAGGTGGACGAAAAAATCTTAAGGAAAATGACGATTTAGAGGTATGTTATTGATTATAAATTACACTTTGATAGTTCGAATAACTAACATTGAGTACGCCCACCTATATTGCCTAATTTTGGGCTGCTGATTTCAAAAATGCCAATCGTTTTGCTCCAAGACGTCTAGGAGTAAGTTTTTTGTTAATATTTTGAATATTTATTAAATTATTTTACCTTAAATCTATTTTGGATGTTCAGTATATTTTTTACGTTTTTTGTCAAAATTATACAGGGATCAGTGGATAAATGTCAAATAGAAATTTTGTTTGTTCCTTTGTAGCCTTATACTACAGTACTATTAAATACCAAAACTAAAATTATAATGTTTTTTGGTAAAAAGTATCATTTTTTGAAATTTTTGTGTCGTTTTTGTAATTACTAATTAAATTGAAAAGGCAACAAAGTAAATGGGTTTCGGTATAAGCATTACTCTTCGACAATTATTTGATAAGTTTTTATTCACATCATGCCTAAAGTACCCAAAAATTTAATCTCGAATCTTATTTATTAAGTCTTATCAAAATTTAATATCGAATGGAAGTATAAAGGCGCCTTTATCTACTTTATCGTTCAAGCACACTAAAGTGCATGTATTAATTATTGACATTTAAAATTTAAACTTTAAATTGTAATTTTACTTGAAAGTGATTTTAAGAACCAAAAATGAAAAAAGAGCAGGAAATGGAAATGGCAATGGAAGTAGCAGAGAAAGAAAAAGGAGACGAACATTTTTGTCGTCGTTGTAAATTTATTTTGTTTTTGTTGCGGTACCTTTACGCCCAAGAAGAACCAACGCAATATTCCATTGCAAAATTGTATGAGATATACCTACTACTAATTTTGCAAGAATATTATTGGAAAAATGCTCTCCGTTTTGAAAAGAATTAGCGTTAATAGGTATGTCATTTAAAATACATTTGCTTTTTTTTTCTTCCTGATAAATTTGCCAAACTGATGAACATGGAGAACGATTTCACCAGATAATTGCAAATCTAGACCATTGGTAGATATCTATGGGTATAGCTGAAAGAAGTTGGAATCATTGCTAGGAGACATTTGCTGGAATTTGCAGCAAAAGATGTACGACGATTATGAGAATTAAGCACAATAATACTATAATTCAGGTAGCAAATTATGCAATGCATTAAATTTTGAGGGCTTAATTTGGATAAAAAATACTGAAACTGGTTTACTTGGTTGGTCTTTCAATTTAATAATTAAAATAATCGACAAAAAATGTCAAATAACGGTTGTTTTTTACATAAAATACATTACAATTTTAGTTTTAGTATTTGAAATGTCGTATTATTAGGTTAAATATGATCTATTTGACGTATACCAATTGCTTCAGTACATTCTAGATAAATTTAAGCCAAAATAATTTAATAAATAATTAAAATACTAATAAAAACCTTACATTTTATTACAAAATTATTTTAAATCCCAGACGTCCTAGAGAAAAACGAATGACATTTTTGAAATCAGAGGCCCAAAATTAGTTAAACTAAGCTGGTGTACTCAATGTTAGGAAAAAAGTTTCTAAAACTATCATAGTGTTAATATTGTTACAAATTAAAATTTGTACCCAGTAAAGTAAAGATTAAAAAGTTTCTCTTGTAGTATTCTGTTAAAATAAAACCAGATTAATAAAAAATAATTTAATTTATTTATTGCGAATGAACCAATATTTACCAAAGCATAAAATGCCTAGTGCAATAAATCATTGATAAGACGAACAAAAATTATATAAATAATTAAATTGTTCACAAATATTTGGCAATTTCTATCGCACGAATAGATATCTTGATCAAGGGAAATATTTTTGTTCGATATTTTTGTTATGCACCAAAACGTATAAATAACGTTGCCAAACTTCAACAAAATCGGGCAAACGATATTTAAGATATTTTGTTTTCCTTCTATAAAAATGTTGTTAATTTTAGACACTTGTAGATTGGAACAAAGCCATGTTGCCCCAGGTAGGAAAATTAGGGGAACATTATAAAAAATGGGTTTTATCGCCTGTGGATAGGCATTTAAGGCTATTCGAAAATCCCATTTTGGAAAACCTTACAATAACACCCTGGTATATTGTTCCTTTAATATGGATTCCAGTTACGTTCCTTTTCGTTCTATATGGTACCAAAAACTACTACTCTCATACAAAAGGTAATTTTTTTGGTAATATTTGAAAAAATTTTGAGTTTTTTATTTTAGGTTCGTCAATTTTGGAACCAGCAGTATGCGTGGCATTAGGTTTAATTTTATGGACTTTAATCGAGTATTCTTTGCACAGATGGGTTTTCCATATGGAACCATCTGGAAGGAGTCAAATTTTAATTTACATGCATTTTGCAATTCATGGACTTCATCACAAAGTAAGGAATACTTCACGATGTCCCTGAATAACTTTTAATTGAAAGGTTCAGACGTATCCGATTTTTTTCATATTTTGATAAAAAATTACTTACTAAACAATTTTTTTTCAGGATAAACTCAATTCGCTTGGCACTTTTTTAGAAAAATCAATTTTTATAAAATCATTAATGATTTTTAATCAATTTTTTGAGATTTTTAATTAGAGAACTCCTAATAATGACTAACAGCTTTTAATGTATTTGTTACATAAAATGTGCAATTCATTAGACTAGTGAACTATTGACATATGTCACATGTCACATGGCGAAATCGTGATTGAAAATACCGTTGCGTTATTTTACCGTTTTTTTCAATTTATCGCAGATTTATTTATAAATTAGGTATAAATAATTATTTTTGTATTGATTACACTAGTAAACAATAAAAAAAGGTCGGTAATAAAAATAGCTCAGTCCTATTATAATCTATAATAGATTTTGACCTGCTCGACGCAAATCCGGCGCCCAAAAAATTTTCAGAAGTCTCGTTTAGACGATACGGGCAGGACCAATGATACAAAGAAAAATTGTTAAATAATAACGATAAAAATTAGTAAATAAAAAAGGTCGGTAATAAAAATAGCACACTCCTATAGATTTTGACCTGCTCGACGCAAATCCGGCGACCAAAAAATTTTCCAAAGTCTCGTTTAGACGATACGGGCAGGACCATGATACAAAGAAAAATTGTTAAATAATAACGATAAAAATAAATAAATAAAAAAGGTCGGTAATAAAAATAGCACAGTCCTATAGATTTTCACCTGCTCGACGCAAATCCGGCGACCAAAAAATTTTCCAAAGTCTCGTTTAGACGATACGGGCAGCACCATGATATAAAGAAAAATTGTTAAATAATAACGATAAAAATAAGTAAACAAAATAATTCGAACGATAAAAAACAGTAAACATCGAAAAAACATGCCTTAAATTTTTACAATATGTACAGATATGTTGTTCATGGAATGCTGAAATATATATAAGTTAAAAGTAACGTCATCCTAAAATTTTCAAATGGTGTATCTATGCAATAAATGGTACCAAAATACTGTGCTCCTATTTTTTATTTCCGACTTCAGAATTTTTTTTTAAAAACATTTTGGTTCTATTTTAGTCATAAACAATCGAAAAACTCTATTTTTAACCAGGACCTTTTTTTTAAGTAAAAATTTGTTGCCTAGTGTTACAGTATATAGTGCAATGAAGCTAATAAAAAACCATGCATGGACTCACTCGGATAATCGCGAGAGAATTTTTTTGTTTTGTCTTAAAAAAAAAAGAAAAAATGTTTTAAATATGTGGAAAGATTCTGGAAAAAGTTCAAAGCATAGTAGTATATGATGTAGAAGATGAACGATTACCAAAAGTTGTATGCAAAGGTGGTGAAATTTTATTATATAAAGCAGCCAAACAAGAAATTTATAGAAACACGTTAAATTTGCCTGATTTTTCTAATTGGAAAAATTGGGTATAATTTTATAAAAAGTGCTAAAAATAAACCCATTGAAAAAAGAAAGAATGCGTGTGGTAAGAAAATGTTTCAAATGTTTGTCAAGTATTGTTGGTGGCCGCGGTAAAAACATAAATGTAAACCTGGAGTAAAAGAAGAAAATATTGAAAACGATATTAGTGAAACTAGTCCGAAACATCAGCAGCAGTTACTATCGCTCTTTTTTCTTTTTTTAAAAGAGCGATAGTAACTGCTGCTGATGTTTCGGACTTAAAGCTATGCTTTGGACTTTTTCCAGAATCTTTCCACATATTTTAGACATTTTTTCAAACAAACAAATTCTCTCGCGATTATCCGAGTGAGTCCATGCATGGTTTTTTATTAGCTTCATTGCACTATATACTATAATCAATGAAAATATAAATATTTATATCTTATTTATAAATAAATCTGCGACAAATTGAAAAAAAACGGTAAAATAACGCAACGGTATTTTCAATCACGATTTCGACATGTGACATGTGACAAGTGACATATGTCAATAGTTCACTAGTCTAATGAATTGCACATTTTATGTAACAAATAAGCTAACGAGATTGTGCCACATTCATTATATTTTTATATATTTAATATTTTTATATATTTTACTGAAATTTTACGAAAATTGAAGAAACTTCATCAAAATTTTATGAGCCAAAGTCATTTTTCATCCATTTTCCGATGCAATTATAGCAAAAGTAAAAGTTTAAATTATTATTTAAGGTCCCAGGGGAGGCCGCATGTGAAATGTATGCGAAATTTTCAGTAAATTGTGAAACTTTCAATGAAACTTCTAAAAGTTTCACGGGCAATGTTGAAATTTTCGCATTGAAAATTTCACTTTTCCAACATTGAAATATTTCAAGTTTAAAACTTTCAGTTGAAATTTTCATTTGAAAATTTCAACTGTCCCAACCTTACTTGTAAGTGATTTTTTATCAAAATATGAAAAAAAAATCGAATACGTCTGAACCTTTCAATTAAAAGTTATTTAGGGACACCGTGACTTACGTTGATCAAGGTTATTTAAGACATAGATGCCTATTTGGCAATATTATTTTTTGGCTAGAAAAAGTTGATAAGCCCAGCGAAAATAAAAATTGATCATTAAAAAACATTTTCAATGTTTGTATTATGTTAAGCAAATAGGACTACATAATATCATTTTAAAAACGTAGAATTTATTATTCAACTTTAATACACAATAATCAGTGACTGACCTATATTTCGAGTTTAAATTAAGTACCTAGTCTTTGCCATGGCATACACAGAAAAAACGCTTTGATATAGTCAATAACAATGATATAATTGATTGTTTTTTCATTTCTTCAATAAAAGTTAAAGTTTATTCAATCAAATATGTTTGGAGCAAAATATTATCAAGTTAAAATTACTTTTTATATATATATGTATACAGAGTCAAACCACGTCAAGTGGGACCAGAAAATTTCACGAAATCACCGATTTTGAAAATAATCATATTATTGTGGAGTAGGCATGACTCATATGTCACAGTAAAAAAATTGTTTTAAAATTCGTTTTTTTGGTAATGTTATTAAGGTTGACAATTTTGTCAAACTTTAGAGCACGGTAAAATTGAAAAAATAGAATCTCTGGGACCACTCTGTATAATTGAATTAAATTTTACACACTATTGTACAAATGTTTAGAGTATATAATGATTATTTAATTAAGGTTAATTTGTTTAAATAAAAGAATTTTGCATACATTTATTATAAACAATTGAAATTTTGTATGTGTTCTTCACGCTGAAAAAAAATTAATCTTGTGTCATAATATGCGGCAAACGTTTCCGTTTAATAAAATGTACTCAAAAATTTGCCTTTCATATGTCATTCCGGAGATATTAATTTTTTTGTCCCGCTGTGCGCTTGATCAGTACGCGGCGCGCTTCGCTGCTAGCTCGTCAGCACACGGTGTGCCTGAACGAAGTTTAAGTCACATAAAAATTCCGCAGTTTCTTGTTCGGGACCCTTTGGTGACTTAAAAATGATATTTACCAAAATCCTAGCTGCTCCTCTTTTCGAAATTTTTTGAAAAATCTTTTTATGCATTATGCTTTTTACTATATAAAAAAGTGATTTTTGTCTAACCCTGTATAAATCTAAGCATATATATAAAAACAGTTTCTCTCGTTTACAATATCGGTGTACTCTGGCAAAGGTAGACTTTGCGATAAACAAATAATTTTAAAAAAATTGAATTTTTTAGAAATTGAAAAAAAAACATTTAGAATTTTGGTAAATATATTTTTTAACTTCAACCAATTTTTCGTTCAAAATTGAAAACTACTCAAAAGCCTAAATTAAACAACATTTTAAATAGGTACTCTCTAAGCGTTATTTTATTAAATGTTATTACAAATCTAGTTTTCTTGTAAAAGGTTAATAATAATGCCATTTTGTAACCTGATAGACCTATAAATATCTAAAAAAAAATTGGGAATAAATATTTTTCGCGATCATGAATTTACGCTTTTGCATTATTAAAAATAAGTGATTTTTGGCTAACCCTGTATATATCAAATGATGTGAACAGTATTAAAAAATATTCTCTAATAGTCTCCTAAATAATATACTCCAATTTTATAAAAATCCGTGTGTAAATGTGTACTCTGTCAAAGAGATAAACAAAATTTTAAAAAAAAATCATGAATTTTCGAACAATTTCGAAAAGAGGAGCAGCTAGAACTTTGGTAAATATCATTTTTAAGTCAACAAAGGGTCCCGAACAAGAAACTACAATCAGTTTTTGGCGGCATTTTTATGTGACTTAAACTTCGTTCAGGCACACAGTTCGAACGGACGAGCTAGCAGCGAAGCGCGCCGCGTACTGATCAAGCGCACAGCGGGACAAAAAAATTAATATCTCCAGAATGACATATGAAAGGCAAATTTTTAAGTACATCTTATTAAACGGAAACGTTTGCCGCATATTATGACACAAGATTAATTTTTTTTCAGCGTGAAGAACACATACAAAATTTCAATTGTTTATAATAAATGTATGCAAAATTCTTTTATTTAAACAAATTAACCTTAATTAAATGATCATTATATACTCTAAACATTTCTACAATAGTGTGTACAATTTAATTCAATTATACAGAGTGGTCCCAGAGATTCTATTTTTTTCAATTTTACCGTGCTCTAAAGTTTGACAAAATTGTCAACCTTAATAACATTACCAAAAAAACGAATTTTAAAACAATTTTTTAACTGTGACATATGAGTCATGCCTACTACACAATAATGTGATTATTTTCAAAATCGGTGATTTCGTGAAATTTTCTGGTCCCACTTGACGTGGTTTGACTCACAGTTAATGACTCTTTGGATTTAAACCTAATGGAAATGTGAAAATTTTAGAAATGATTGTATTCAAGTTTATCTGATCAAGGTAAAATTAACAATATTTAATTAAATATAAAATTGATTTATATTAAAAGTTA